TTAATAATATCATCTGAACTATATATACCATATTAGCCATAGAGAATATATTGTACTAACAAACGTATTTTGTGTTATGTCACGAATTAACTGATGTCGGAAATTCAAACCGTCGACTATCAACAAATTAGTCTTGTGACATTATTACATCTAAGGGACATAAATATTTTAAGTTCATTCTAGTGTAAGACTTTAGATACACACTGATGAAATCTTCAGGATTCCAGTGAAAAAGGTAACAAGCATTGTCTGGTTTTCAATTATTAATTAAACTGCATGAACTTACATAGCGATTAGATCATTGACATGATCTAATGAAATTGCTGAAATAGTATAAAGAATGAGTCTTTAAATTTTTAACTCTAAAGAACTTCTAGTTTAAGCAAGTTCACTTCTTTATTAACTGTTTTTCAACCTTCGTCAATAAGTTTTACATTTCTCTCTGATTTCTCCCTCAACAATTCCCTTTAACGGTTTTCAACACTCAGCAGTTACCATGAGAGAAATCATTGGAAACCTATGACATTAGTCTATACAATTCAAAAGGTAGAAGGATAACGTAATTGTCATCTGTTTCTTTGTATTGTTCACTGTTTTTTCTCAAAATGTATTATTTTGGCGGCAATTCGTTTCTTTAACTAACTGTATATGGCACTAATCACACCAATGATTTCGTGTATTTTGACATTTTAATGATTTTTTCAAACTACTCAAATAACCAAAAAACATGATAATTTGCAGTTACTAAGTTATTTCCATACTAGTTTAATATCATTGTTTTCTACAAATTTATTTAGTTGATTGAATAACTGAATTAATGCATAGATTAGTTAATATTAGCACTTCTAATAACAAATGGCAGGCTTTGCTAGTATTATCTCTTTATAAAATATGATTGTATGTGCTCTAGCAAAAATAATATAGTACATAAACATTTAAATAACATATGAATGATCTAATATGAGCCATCAGTTGCTTCATTATTACAGATATTATTTGCTAAGAATCTCCAAATTGCACGAGACCTAGTTCTAGAGCCTCGTGATGATGGCTTTCAACCATCTATTAGTTAAACATTGTGAATACAACATCAAATTATTTATAACGGTGGATACACTGTAACACCATCGATGGTTTTTTTCAATATTTAACAAGCTAATGCTTACTTATTCTAGAAAGCGAGTTACCTAGTTTCTGCATTTAACATCAATAACTATTCTTTTTGGCTTCAGATGAAATTGTGAAGTAATTTTGTTTATGTTAGATTTTACAAGTATATATTAAATCTGCACATTGGTTTAATATGAAACAAATAATTTAATTGTAATATAAGTTCAAATGATATACATTATCGGAATATCCAAGCAGCTATCTGATAGTAATAATCAGAGTCAGTTGATTTATGTTTTTGTACCGCTATATTCCTTGCGTTCATTTATACCATTTATTCAAGCTGTTTTTTATTGATAACCTTTATATTTATTTTTCATTCAGCAACAGTTTTCATATATTTTATAATAGTATCTACGCTTGTATGTGGATTTGTTTTTAATTCAGTCAAATCAATTTAAGCAATATGTACTCTTGATTACTATTAACGATTCTCAATTATGGGTATACCAGGAAAAATTTAGTAGCTTAGTAAAATGTCCGACTAGAAAATAAGTAGGGATAATTACTTGAATATTCACAAAATATTAAGTATCAAGATAATTTGAACCTTTAAAATAGGTTTATAGCGAAATATAATTCAATTAAATGAAGTTATAGAAACTTCTATGATCAGCGGGAGGTTATACATCCAATTTACACTGTTTAATAAGTAGTTTTTCAGTTCACTTAGTAGGTGATTTCCAGATACAAGACTATAATTTACACTGTAATTGTTTTCCAAAAATTTAAATCTACCCAAATCTATTTACTTTAAACATCTCAGTATAGAGCAGCTTAATATGCTGGAAAAAGAACACAAATATCGTGAAAATTGGGTCTTCAAATGAAATCACCCGTGAAAATTTAACAATTATATGCAATATTCACAAACAAAATAGTAAGAAAAATACCTGAAAATCTATGTTTTTGCACTCTTATTGAACATCTGAAAATGAATGGACGAGCTTATTAAGCATTTGATTAGATATATTTAGTGTTGTGCGCATATATTCAAGAAAATCATAACGTTTTTCTAAACTTTATATAAGTTGATAACTAAATCACATTCCAAGTAAAAGTGATGATATTAATGTATCTATGATCCTTATATATTGCTTGATGTATTCAAGTAGCCATAAAATAAGGATCCATAGTCAAAGGTTATTTTGATTAGGAAATCTGTACCTTTTCTTGGTATAATTTTCAGTATTTTATTGATTGATGAAAATTAGTCATGATTTCGTGGTTTCATAGAGTAACGGTGCAAATAAGTGTGAAAGTGAAAGAAATTGTGTATTAATATCAGATGTGAATAGCGAAAATTTCACGAAATTTCTTAATTATATTTATATAATAAACATAAAGTATACATAATTTATTGATCACTTCATTATTATTATTATTATTATTATTATTATTGTTATTATTATTATTATTATGTTATCACTAATTAAAAGCTCTTTCATGAATTTATATTCTTTGTGATATTTGATTTATGTAACATTTAAGATATTACATCAATTGATAATTTACAGAAAATGCCATTTACAAGTAAGCCAACTTGAACAGTTAGAAGTACATACATTCCTTGTTATTGTTACGCATTTAACCTTCAAACAAAGTAACTACGAATTCAATGACACTTAATGACTAAAATAAAATACTCTGTGTGTAATGACCTTATGATCAAGAATTTGCTATTTACGAAAGTGAATTCTGTATTATATAATATATTGTGTGTTGTTCTGTATCAAGAATAATTATCTGTGAAGTATGTTTATATCAATGTTATTTTTGAATCAGATTTATCATGTTTATCATAATCTTTTGTCGGTGGCAAGTCTTTTGTTGTGTAAATTTCTACGTGTGAAATAATTTCGATGAAACCATTGATAAATGATTACTTGTTTTCAAAGATTTTCTTGATGATATCAGTTTGTATAGACAATTTGGCTCAAATTGTCGATCCGATTTCATGATAAGTCAGTATCTCAATTGATAAGCTCCTTTTACTCAGAATCCATTATTTTACAACACTTTGTGTCTTGTTATTTATCATTTACTATCTCTTCTGATGAATAAATAAATTCCAAAATGTTCTGTGTATTGTGAATAATCAGATGAAAACACTCTCCAAAATTATGTGTTCTAAGTTGAGACTTGATGACGAAACACTTCAACTTTTAAACTTAGAAAAATGTTGATAGCTGCTCGAAGTTCTCATATCCCGAGTTTAAGAAACGGCCTTAATCTATTTACAAAGGCTGATGAAACAACTAATATCCTACAACGCATATTTTGATCATCCGTTTGAAACTACTTGTTAGTAGTTAAATTCTATTGTACTAAAATAATATGGAATGGTTACTTTGTTTTTCGTTATGAACATGAAGGACTCATTTTATCGTTTTCACCACGAACGCTAACTAGAATATTCAATAGTTCTTTTAAAAGTTTAGTAGCGAGATGCTTCTATTCACTGGATACTAGTAGACTAAATCAGTTCAAATAAATAAAATCAAATGACTCAATAAACGCATATAATAAACATTCAACTTCCTCCACTGCCAAATACATACTTGAAACAGATCATAAGATTGATTTTAACTTGACTTCTGTGGTGTTTTACAAAAGTCTTAGAGAGCGTATACTATGGTTCATTGAAGCCTTAGCCAAACGAAAATTCAAACTGTCTTTATGTGTTCAAAAGCAGTTTGTTCTCACCTTAAACCTCTACTGGTAATACCAGTTTATCATCCGGAAAAGTGCAAATTTAAAGTGAGCACAATTGCCTACTTTTGACTGTTACGTAATCAAGACACTCAGTTATTTTAAATAATCTCATATGTTACTTATTATATAGTAGTAGTATGCAATGATACATACTGAATCCTAAAGCAAATATCAAGTTTTCTTAAACCTACATGACATATTTATTTCTAAACTGTTATCTAAGGTAAACGTTTTTAATGATTATACTTTTTTAATTTTAGAATCACCTTTCGGTAGTGTAAAAGGAGATGAACAAGATTCATTTGGCTTCCATGAGTATGATTCACAATTATCAACTCCGGAAGCCAGTTTAATCAGTAAGTTACCATTATCATTATGCCAATATATCATAATTGAAATTTTCTTCAGGTAAATATAACGAAAATTCATCATTAATTGATTGAGTAAACTTGAAAATAATTATTAAAATTTTCAAAACTTTTTTCTATTGCATGTGCATGTGAAGGATTATCTTTGTGTTTACGGCTCCAGAAGATAATACAAATTATTGATTTTTCTGGATAAATATTTACAAAAAAATGGAGAATAGACATAACAAACCAAATCCATCCTCTGTAATTTGTTTGAATAGATCGAAATATTTTTATACTAATTTCAGCATGACTACAGATGAGTCCAAAGATGCCTATAATGATTTCTATAACAGGTTTTTCATTAATCGAAATAATTGTTATAGCAATAAATATGGTAGATGCGAAAATTATATGGAATCAATGATCAAGACAAATAATGAGTTCCGTAGAAATCAAAGACAAGAAGCACATAATACCAGATTGAAAAATCCGTCTAAATCATTCCGTTTAGATCCACATCATGATAAATATGAACTTTATTCATCGGACAAAAACATTTATAACTATGATAAAAATGAATATTCAAAGAATATCTATCGTAGTAATAGTTGTAAACATAACCATACTAGTGATAATTATGGACCATTTACACCAGAATTGAACAGAGAAATATCAGCAAGGAAATCATCCAAAATAAATCATCTTGTAAATTTATTGTATAGAAATTCAGAAGAACGAAATAAGCAACATATCATAGCTAATAATAATACTGGTAATAACAGCAGGTAAATAAAATAGAAATCATTGAATAATAATAATATTAATAACGAAATTTCATTCCTTCGGTTTTATGCGTCAAGACTATTATTTGATTAATCGAATGTAAGAAATGTCATCTCATCTAGCGAATTTCATTGGTTAATAAAAATGTCTATGATTTACTGAGGAAAAAAGGCTGATAGTTTGTGTTAGTCTATTTTTAGTGAGCTGCTAGGAACGTCGATTCTTATACTGAATAAGTCAGTTAAAAATAAAAGTAAAAAATTTCTTCCTGTGTACCAAGCTGAACTTGTCAGATTCGCAACGTTTTCCTGATTTACCTGGAAGCATGAGAGAGGATATATCAAATTCAAATTCATTTCTTAGTATCCTACACATCAAAACTGGATCACTTCTTATTCAGCGAAAACACATAAAAAAGAGGTATAACGTTTTAAGACACACATTAGCAAACAGTTGTTTAATTTTGAAATCTGGGTTTGAATCACTTAAATATGTATCATGTGTATATGAAAACATTTCCAAAACCCTCTTAACCACAAAGGTCGAAACAACCTGGCAGTATACATCTCTCTTAGAAATTCAATGTTAGCTTCGTCACTACGTATGACTGTCAAGTAAGAGTGAGTGTAAATTATTATTTATTAATCTTATAATATTTTAATTCAAACAAGATGGTTTTGAAGTTTTACTACATTCAAACTTTAGTGAATTCACCAGTGAGCGAACAATTATGAACCATTCGTAAGTCAGCCACATACTTTGCATAGGAACATTGACAGGATAAGATTGTAATTTCAGAAATAGTGTAAGGGTGTAAGTTTATGATTATTGAATTGATATTGTCTCATAAAAACCCTCTTCAGTATGACACTTCGGGATATTTCCAATTAGTGTTTGAATTCACACTAGGTTAGTCCACCAAAACGTAGACTACATGAGATTTCTTTAGAAAAAAGGTAGTGTTCAATATTCTTTACAAGATTCCCATATTTTCATATCACTGTCTCCTCTATTAAAATTAAATAAAACATGTATCTTTTTGTTTTTCTCTGAGTTCATATTTCCCGATTCACTAACTAGCTGTTTATACGTGTTTGTGTTATCCTGTTGTCGGTATCACGAGCTGCTATTGATCAGTCCTTTTCGGTATTCGAGCATCATTAGAAAAAGTTGCCCTAAAAATCGTCTTTAATTGCAAGCTTTTCTAGACTTGAATAGTAGCTGTTTGTGCAGTCTAGGATGTGCAACCTGTTTACAACTCTGATTCCGGATGTACAATCCAGAGAATGTATGGACTCAATGGATCAGTCGATACTCCGCTAAGCGTTTGAATTAAGAGCTAGTCGATGCGAATTTCGTTATAAATATTAATGCTGGGATTCAGGTATATTAACTTAATGAGTCTCAAACAGTATGAAACGCGTGTACTCAACCCCACTGTTAGTAACTATTCATCGAAAAACTCTTGGTTAGTGATGTGACTAGTTTCTCTGTTACCAATGACACTCAGCTATCAAAAAATAGTGAGTAACGTTAATCATTCGTATTATTTATTATATGGGTAGTGAAACATTTCTGTTTGAAGACATTTTCATGTTACAAATTCAGGTGTATGTGACTGGATAGACGTCGAAAACTGCTCTTAAATATAATTCACAATATATATTCATTTAAAGAAAAAGACCAGATATGATAAAGGTACTTCAAAACAAACTAAAAAAATCGTCAATTAGTAGATAATCTTTCATTCACAGTTTTGAAGTTCGAGAACACTATGTCTAACAATGACTGAATGTCATACTAAATTTCAGTGCATTTAAATAGCTTTTGCTCATCTTATAAATTAACTATACTGTACAATATGTTTAACTTTTATGAGAGTTTATGAATTAAGTTAAACTACTCACTATAATTAGATGTAATGTATATTCTTTGTTTGTAACTTCTCTGCATACCTATCATGACATATTCAACTATAAAACCCACATCATATGACAAGTATCAACAAGCATTTTGCCACTATGATTATTGTCTGGTTTAGATACAAATTGTATCGTAATGTTCAGTAGCCTTTATTGGACATTATACTACAATTGTGCTTTGAAATATCATTATCATAAATTTGCTTATAACAGTCTACACAATACATATACATACAAATGATTGGTTAATATGAAGGTCATTTGAAGACAACTAATCATATTTAAAGTTATAGATTAACTACAAACCAATCAGGTATCTTCTTTGTAGAATCAACATTGAACATATTTCATTTTAACTGTTATTCACCAACAAAATGTTTTCTTCAATTAATTTGAATTTAGGCCCATAAATTCATTAGAACAAAGTGGTTTACCAGAGGGTAATCAAATAAAAATTCAAAATAAATCATTTTCCGGGAAACTACCTAGAACAATCAATTATTCATTTAATCTACATCATAATAATAAACAAGTCGAAAATACCATATTAAATAATAATATTATTATTCAAAAAGAAAATAACAGTGAAGAGAGTTATCCACAAATGTCAATTAGAGAAAGGTAATGATAATATTTTACAATACTTCTATGTTGTTATACAATATTGACAATGACATATAGATACTTAAATTGTTGTTGTTGTTGTTTTATTGTCCTTAAGACGTGTATATACAAAGTAAATATCGTCTGATTACATGCAATTTGTTTTCTGAATTCAAAGTATGTAAATATAGTCCATTCTAGTCAGTTTTGATATATTCAGTTTCTAATAGATTTGTCCTGAATAAACTAAAAATTTGAAAACATTGTTTAATGTGTAGCTAATTTTCTACCATGTACTGATATCAAATGAAGAATTAGTGGAAACTAATAAGCATCTGACACTTTTTGTTTTTCATTTAGGTTTATCAATCTATAGTATTGCAAATCAAAAAGTTGACTACATTTAAAACTGTAGATCAGTTAACAATAAATTATGTCGAGAGATTTCCAAGGGTATTATATGTATAATTGTCATTTTCGATTATCGTCACAATTTTATCTTTTTTTTTTAAATGTTGGATCAATTTACAACTCATTTGTACAGGTTCTTAGAAGTCTAACAACCAAATGAAACAGTTATAAGTGTCAAGACTTTATGGAACCCAAACACTAACAAACTAATTTATTCGGTTACCAAGCACCATGTGAAAAGTAGAGTTTCTTACTTTCAATACAGTCTAAATACTTTGGACACCTGAAATTGAATTAAGCCCATATGAATTTCACGAACTTTGTGATGGAACATTATCTACAAGTAATCATTAAAACTATTTTATATAATTATCTTTCTTCATACCATCTATAAACTATCTGTACAATAATGGAAACTGATTTAGTTAGTAAATATGCGTGATTCTCTGTTTCATAGTTATTTTGAACTAGACAATATGGTGCTATTCCGTTTATGAAATATTTAATATGAATATAAATATCGGTTAACCAATCAATTGTATAAATGTACAGAATAACAATATTAACTTTTGACAATGACCTTCAAAGAAAGATAGTTTCTTCTTATTATATCAGTAAACATAATAATAGAGTTTACTAAATTTACCTAATACATTATGATTTTGTGTAAAAAAAACTATTATTATATTTCCACCGTAATACTGACGATACATTTTTAAAAAAATCTTTCTTTCCTATCCTTTGTACCATTTAAACAGGATTGCTTGTATTCAACAGAATACTTTAAATTGGAGAGAGCGCGTTGAAAAAGAAGAACCAAATGTAGATAGATCATGTGATCTCAATAAAATTCGATTATCATTAGTTGAGAAACAAGAATCTTGGAAACAACGTGTTGATTATAAAAATGATTATGATTTTCCAATATTTGAACGAAATAAAAAAAGTTAGTGTGTGTAATACAATGTGATCTATTTTATTCTGTATCCAAATTTTACTCTTAAAGAGAATAAACTTCAATAGAATAACACAACACAAAAATGATACGATAAATAGAACCATACATTTTAGTTTAGTCAATTAGTTATGTATTTAAATTAGCAACTATTGTTATGTTGAATGGTGTTTCGTACTGACTGAATTCCATTTTAGTCCTACACCAGGTTACAAAAAACGTGAATAGTTTGTTAATAAATCATTTGATTATGACACCAGCTGATGCTAGTAAGAATCCAACACTAAATATTGATCCCCTGGAAATTGTAGATACTCGTTGCTGTTCAGGGATTCAAACTATTAGGAAATTCAGTTATGGAGCTTCACAGTCAGAAACGGCACTACTGAGGTATTTGGGAGACGACTGACATTTAAAACTGAGATGCAATTGACCGATCATTGATCATTGACCAATGTCATGTATGCCAAGTTCTTTGAGCTTATCAAAATCTATCTATTAGGTCACAGTGGACCTACTGGTCTAGGTGGCTTGAAATCAGTGGTAACATCTCTGTGAAGATGTGTGACACGGGTTAAATCCATCAAAGAGCATCAGTTTTCTCAAGATTACAGGTATATCTTGCAGACAACTGCCAAATAGAACAAAACTCAGGTCCAGCGTTTCCTGTTAACTACCTCTAACCAGCACTTTGCATCTCTGTATGGTGCACGCGGTGTCGAGTCACTTAGACAAACGGCCATATCACAACTTGATCGATAGAATTCGATCAACACTAAGAACGACATGATGTTCATCAGATTGGTCACTATCTAGTGATCAATCAATTGTAAAGAAATTATTTTAAATTTCAAATAAAAGTATCTACTAATATGACCAATCTGCTTTATGAACGTATTTGTTTTTAAATAAACATAAGGTCCGCAAGATACTTCCAACTTATTTATTTTCCAAATTTTCTAATATCATTTTCATGATGAATAATGTATAATGTGTTGTTGAAGTGATTTAAGTGAGTCAAATGGGCGTGTCCTACATGTGATCTAAAGAGAAATTAATGACCGTATAATAAACATATATTATTTTTATCCTTAGGTCATAACTGCATTAGTTGCGTTAATTGACTCATTCATAAATAAGTTGCCTTGGCATTTTGATTGATAAAAGCTTACAAACTGTCTTGTAAGGAATATTCCTTAGTAAACGGAATACACCCATTGATACATTAAATAAGAAAGATTGTTTCAGCAAAGAGTTCTCTTTCCAGCAAATTCATTTCCAATATTTTTGATTTGCATTGGGCTTTATTCATATTAAAATTACTTACTTACTTACTTGAACCTATTACCCCTCACGGAGGAGCATATGTCGCCCACCAACACTCTTCATCAAACTCTGACCTGGACAATCCTTCCAGTTGTTTCCTCTTCATCTGGGAGCTAGTTTGTTCTCTCACATAGTAGACTTTTGCGGATGGTATCAGGCCAACGAACATTCAGTATCCTACGTAGACAATTGTCTATAAATACTTGTACCTTTTTGTTGATGGTTGTGGTAGTTCTCCAAGTTTCAGCTCCGTACAGTAAAACTATCTTGACATTCGTATCGAAGATTCTGATTTTGATATTGTTATTAAAATTAGTACTGATATGATTAATTTTTAAATTTTGTTGAGAGATTAGAAAGTTAGTTTACATATTTGCATGCATACTGAATCACTGCTTTTATAAGCACATAAATAGTATGTTATTATCGATTCATTACTTCTTAGTAAAATACGCAATTAATACATTGAATATTCAAATTTAGGAGTGAAATATACACATATATCATAGTGACTAAATCAACTAGATTTAAGCAAGTGACTAACTAGAGGACATTCTTAGCTTTGCTTATTATTCCATTCATAAATAATTGACTTCAAATCTATTTTATTAACGCTCAACCCGGTTCACATAACAATCTAACATATTCAAATACTTATGTTAAAATTAAAATGATAACAGTCAATTAGAAACAAATTATTTGAAAGATATCAAGTTGAAGTCTTTCTAATAATTTATGACATACTACTTTTAGAAAAAAATCTCTTTAAAGTTAAGTAGTTGAGTTGACTGAAGTTGAAACAAAGTGTTCAGTGCACTTTTTCAAAGAACAATAATTGAATTATTCTAAAGCTTTACATTCTTGAGTTAGTTAACTTTTCAATGATATTTTTAGCTTATATGAGAATTAAATTAAAACGACTGTCATCAATTTTAATATAAACGTTATGGATCTAACAAATAAGTGTTTGAATAGGGGTTGTGGAGATTATTAGGTTTTTGATTGAGATCATGAACCGATTGATGTTAGACCACCCGTGAAAACCTGGAAGCACTGAACAACCGTTTCGTCCTATTGTGGGACTCCTCAGCAGTGCGCATACACGATCCCCCTCATGGGATTCAAACCAATGGCCTTCAGTCTCACGCGTGAACGCTTAACCTACTGGACTACTGAGCCGGCATCCAATGGTTTTAATGTTTAACCTCAACCAATCTACGAAATTGCGCGACCATCTTCCATTATAAGGAGGTGGATACCTGTCTCTACCCGACACGGATTAGCTACACTGGTCACGGCTTCTCACTAGAACTCCGAGAATTCCAGCGCTTCCAGGTTTTCAATGGTGGTCTAACATCAATCTCAATCCAAAAGTGTCTGAATTTATTCACAGTTAAATAATTATGGTTACATTAGTGTTTTTGGGATACAATGTAACACAGTATTATGAGATACTTTAAAAACTTTTCTAAGATCTTGGGTTGCTCTTTAGCTATGTATTATATGAGTGGAATTCATAACCTTTATTTGATTACTTCCATACAAAAGTCAGTTGATACCATATTTGATTGTGTGAAAACCACTGAAATGCAAGATATTTTAATCGAGGCCTTGTAGTTTTTTAGATATTCATGAATTATTAATGCTGTCAAAAATAATTAAATTGTATGATATTTATGACCATAATAATTTATATCCAAAGATTACAGGTTTTTTCTGCCTGATTTGTAAAAATGGTGGTTAGAGACAATTTATTTATGATTCAGTGTATTACATCTAGAGGTTAGACTCTTGATATAACGCGTACAACTTGAGCACTCGAACACTAGAACCCTCCAAGTCTCGAATGAGAAGACAGAAGATAAATGGAAAGAATGTTATTCCAAACAGTGTTAAATATGGTACAAACCTCTCAGGTATTATTCGTATTTATAGTAAAAACGAAATCATCATTATGCTCATCCAATCCGCATACAGGTATCTTTAGCATTTGTCCAGTAGGGAAGATATATGTAGAGATTCTGAAGTATTTTTTCAAGGTATGATCGAATGGAGTGTTTCCGGCTCTTTCGGAGCTTTTTTGAGCTTCGTCGAGTTCACCTGTGGACCGTCCTTACAGAATGCAATATTAATTCATAATTAATTAAGATTTCCCGTTATATCTTTACTAAACATGTTAGATACATAAACGTATGTTTCAATATAAGGAAATGTATCTGTTGTTAGAATGATATAAATATTCAATTTTGTGATATCTGTTCACTCTATATGTTGGGGTACTGTTAACAAAAAAAGTGATTAGCAGCTTAAAAGTGAGTGCTAAACTATGAAATGCCATCCAATGCTTCCCGATTTTCAATGGTGATCTTCCTTAAATCGACTCATGAATTTAACTAATTAAATTACTACAATCTACACAAAAAACCCTATTCTGATTATGATCAATGAATTTTAGAATTTCAGATCGATAACTTAAATGTTAATCAGAAGATGTAGAGAATATAATTATTTATAAAAAAGGCTGTTCATACTGTTGATTATATATTTAAATTAACTTGTAGTTTCAGTGGATCCGGATTATGATCAGCAGTGAAATCCAAGACTCATCAGCTGGTTGTACCTACTAAGACTCGCTCCTAATATATGTTGCTACTAGTACATTGGTATCTGATGTGATGGACACTGGGTTTGAGTGTCGTTGTGATGATCAACACTAGGAAGCATTTACATTAAATTGAGAAGTCTGCGATAAGACGAAAAATATAACTTTGATTCCTTTGCAGCTCACAATCCAAATATACTGAAAATTTTGATCTAAAGTAATTTTCAGATAGTTTACCCAATGTTTTACATGAATGAATGAGTATAAACTAATTGGGGAGCTAAGTTTAAACAGTTTATATCCATTCACTTTTCATCATCTAATTTCTTTATAGATCAATATTGCAATTACTAAAACGTTTAACTATAATCTCAGATTTTATTCTTCTGTCCTTGTAGCAAATGACTATACTAGTCTAGAACCTCTTCCATCGAAATGTCCTCATTCACAAGATCTAACAACAAACACATCGAAATGTTTACCAGTTGAACCAATAATACGCAATACTAGCAAAGAAAATCGTTCAGGTAAATGATTTTTTTTATTTACTAATGAAATAATAAAATAATTTACGAATTAATTAATGCAATAAAGCTGTCAGTTAGAAATAGAACGTGACTTATTGTAATAACAACTTGATATTGTTGATACTGGTGAAACCTGAGACTTTGAACAATTATGTTTATAATCCGTTTAACTTACAGTTTAATAAGAAGGAAGGAAAGATGAACCAGATGTTTGTGTCTGTTAGCACCAAGTAATGAGTTTTGATTTTGACACTCATGCTAAAATTTTGAATTTCACCAGTTTTAGTAAATAATGTAAGATATTACTAATTATAAAAAGGATTTAACTGTTATTTACTCTCTGAGTAACATCAGCTAGTTATAAATGAGAAATTCTTCAATTATTCGATATGTATTCAAAGAACAAGATACCTTTATTCGTTATGAATCGGTCCTACTGGAGCATTTCAGGTAATTTATTACATTGTAATGACAAACGTTATTGATTTGTACTGATATTGATATAAGAAAATTTTACCTTTTAAATACAAAGCTTGAATTTTCCCAGAGGCCACGGTTAAATTCAGTACAATTGTATGGAATAGTAAACTTTTTAACTTAATCTTATTCTTTTGGTTCCGACAACATATACTTTCATTAGTTACTTGTTAGGTGAACTATTCAATAGTGTTACATATTAGAATATTAAACTCAATTACAAGATGAAATTCTATAGATAATTTTAAAAAAAACAGACGTTTTGCAGCAAATAACTAGAATTGAAATTCATGAATCCGGTCTGTAATTTTCATACGGTTAGTTCCTAGAATCAAATGTTTCAAAAGTAAATAATTATCATAGGATCACTCCATTTGGCGTCTTCTAATAACTTTATAAATTAGATGTTTAGTAAAAGTAGTTTATGAGAGGAAAGTGTATAAATGAATTCGGTTTATTGATGAAGCTAAATAAACACTTTCTACAAGTATAAGAATGTTATATAAATAGAACTAGAATAAGCCAATGAATTCGTGATGCCATCAGCCATAAAACACATACATGAAAGCTGTGAACAATGTTTATTATAATCATTATGATTACTTCACGTCTGTATTTTCTTCTAATTATTACAAATTTCTATATTTTCAACTAACATAGTAACACAAACTTGTGTGTTTATGACGTCATGATCGTTTCAAACAAAAAATATTTTGATAAATCAAACTTGTTTGGTTGTGAAAAGGGTTCATAATCATTTAGATCAGATGAAGTACAAGTGTACACAAACTGGTATCAGCTAGTGAGCCATTAAAAAATCGAAAGAATATTGTTCTAATTTTGCAATTTTTCACACCTATGTCTCTCTAAAGAATCGGATAGGTGGTTTTAAGTCTTCCTTATTAACAAATTACTAATGCATAATTTAATAGTTTACCTTTTCAATTTAAGCCATAATTTAGATATATCACTCAACCGTTGTCAATTTTTATTGGTGATGTCCGTCTTATCCCAGTCGTGGTCGAACACTGTCAAATACGACTTCTGTCTACAATTTCTTAACTTATTTTTGAAATCAGCCACTAATGAGCACAACATATCCATAAAATTTATAGACATTTATGGCTAGTTTAGTGTACACAAAAATTGAGTGGATTCAATGCATTTTACTATGATTTATGTTCTTCATAAAAAGGAGAATTGTTAAATATATGTTTCAGTAGTTGAAATCATGAGTCAACTGAAGCTAGACCACCATGGAAAACCTGAAAGTACTGGACGGCCGTTTCGTCCTAGCATGAGACTTCAACAGTGCGCATCCACGATCCCGCCTTCTGAAAATATATATTTGTCTAAGTACCTATATAGTAATTTATTGCAGTTATTCGTATTCATTATGGTGTTTTAACGACATTTTTGTATAATGAAACTGTAATTATTATCAATTATACGGTTTTAAGTTCTTTTTTCTAATAAAAATTACATTCTATTTAAAGCCATGCAGTTAGTTGGAAGTAGTTGATGAGTGTCCTAATTAAATTGCGAAGTTATCGAATTGCTTATCAATATAAAATTATTTGCGATTATTAACTGGAAAACTTGAGTTTCTGGGTTTAAATGTTTATATCTTCTTACGATACAATATATTACCTACAAAATGATCAAAACAACTTACAGCTATAACAATAATAATTATGCTTATAAAGTGTTGAAATAATTTTGTTAATAGTAAGTAGTAAGATTGCGTTAGAGAACCTCTCTTGTTACTAGATGAAAGATAGACTTGAACAATGAATTTATATCCAGTCAACATTGTTGTATTTTCAGTCAGTATATATGGGATGGTCGAACAAACACATAGGGAAAAACAATGGGGCAAATTCGATCATGAGCATACACCAGGAGACTAGAGGGTCTCAAAATAAGAGAAGCTTACAGATGTCAAACCAGTCAAAAGTTACTTGTAAAAGTATATTCATAAAAATATATATATTTTTAAAAATATGAGAAATGGACATTTGACAGACATCACTTGATGTAGTCAGTTAAAATGGTAATTCAGCACAAATTCAAAACTTACAGTGCTCACTAGATTGATACATTTTTCGTGATAATCTTCTCAAATGCAAAAGATACAACAAGATTAATTTATTGGTCGATTCACATGTTAACTTCAAGATGAAGAAATGCGGTAAATCTTTCAGAACTCAATAAAACCTAAACATTAATGAAACAAACTCATTCTCAATGTAAAACGTTTGTTAATTAAATAGTAAGCAGTATTACTTTTAAGGAAATAAAATCAATTGCAACTAGATAAGATGATTTGGTATGTACTGCAAAGTTATAATTCTTGGTAAAATTTGGAAAAAGGAAGTTATAATAACTTGGTATTTTTAGACTGATAGTTTTATAAGCCATTTTAGATTTTAAAATTATCAGTTTGCTATTACTAATAAGTCGACTGGCCATAGAACCGTCTAAAATGACTTTTCTTATTTACAGTTTTTTTTAACTTAATGCCCAACCCTCTTCTTTTACCTGGGTCTTGAATCGGCCGTAACTGTAGAAGAATTTTATCAGGAATTGATCATAGAAGTGATATTATGAAATAATATTTTTATAAGAAAATCGGCCATGTTTAATTCTGGAGACCAATAATAGATTATGCTAATTAATTAACTAATATTATCATTATATGTGAAAATTATATTTGGAATAATCTCAGCAATAATTTCAACGTTTCATCCAGAAAACTTGTCTGAACTTCTTCACGGTAATATTCAAAATCAAAATCATCAAACAAAAATATATAGCGTCTAACAATTATGATTATTACTCTGAAGAAGTCTGGACAATTTTACTGGACGAAACATCGGAATTATTTTAAATTACAATCACTGAGATTATTTCAAATATAATTTTCGCATATAATGACTTTTCTATACTCAGCGCTCAATTTTAATCAAACTATTCGTTAGAATATTGACGAATATTCGTAATAACTAATGTTATGTTACCTCAATTACAATTTGAAACTAGCCACTTTTGAAACACTGGCTATTTTACTTATCTGAACTAATTAAATGCATCTGAGAAATAATTGAAATTTCACTTTAAATTTATCTTACAATGATGATGATGAGGAGGAGGAGGAAGAGTAAGAATGTGACAATTTCTATTTATTTATTCCATTAACTTTTAATCTGTTAGAAACGTTTAAGAGGAACCCTGACGATTAAGTGGATGTGTTAGCGATTTGTGAATATGAAACTTTACTGATTATATTCTGTAATCAATTATTCTCTGAAGATTTCTCTGAAGAATATTTTTAAGTTTTTCGATGACCAAATTACTGAATACATGCAATAATTGACGAAATGGTACATTATTACAAATTAAATTGTCCCTTTTATGAAAACACATTAAATGTGGAAATTATAGGCTTAAACTAATTCTTTCCCGTTATAATTTAAGAGACTATATAAAATAATGTTTGGAACTGATGATGTTTGATATGAATATACAAACGTTGTACTATACATACTTAACATCTGTCACTTAATCAAACATTCATTTTTGTATTGCCTGATGGGGTTCTCCACCAATTCAGTACAGCAACCAGGATTTTTCTGAAGTATATGGAAAACTCATTGAATAGCTCAGTGATAATATCTTTGGCCTTGCTACAGGTTTGAACTAGATGGATAGCATTCATTCTGTTCAGATCCCAAATAAACTTAGTAATAAGTATCAGTTATTGTAAGATCTAGGTCGAGAGCTTCTTGCAAGTTGGATCTAATTACCTAACATGTAGGAAGACACCAGATCGCACATTAGTAGAACTGCCTATTGTTAGTTTCCTGGTCCGTATTATAGATTTGACCCCATTATATTCATTTATATTGTCTTGAATGTTCTGTAAGTGTATACTGAACATCGGATGAGATCTAATAATAGCTCTACTTCATACAGTGAAATATTTATAACCTGTATTTCATAATTTCTCTTCAACAAACATTATGTTGGAAAACTTATTGCTAGTAAATATTATTCCTGTATCTGAATTTACGCGGAATGTTAATTTTATCTTTTTGCAGAAGTCAAACATCAAGAATCATTTACGACAGCCGATCCCATCAATAAACCTACTACCATAACGAAGCCAAACCCACTTGTTAGACAGGTGAGATTTTCTCTTCTTATTCCATTTATCACTTTGATGGTTACATATTTTTACTGCTGAATAACGTCAATAATTAGCTAGTCAATTGACTCTATTTAGAAAGTAATTTTCGCTTTCAATCATCAAGTACACTTGTTGATGTTGGCCTATAATATAAACCGTAACAATACGGAACAAATTAAACTCGATTCTTTCTCACCATAAAGGTCACATATTTTTCATCCTTAACAGAGCACACTTACATATACACGAATTTGCATACATCTCGCTTATGAATCACCTTGACCGAAATGACATGACATTGATTTATTCAGACCTGTTTTTTGATTGATCACATTTATCACTATTTAAACTTGGATTAATTTCGATTTAGTTATTTATTCTCTGAAGAAGTAGCTTACACCAAGTCACGAAACGTCAGAAAATCTAATTTTTCTACTCATCAGGATATTAAAAATATATTATTTATCTAGTACGGAATATTGTTCATTCGTTGAAAATTTTATTCGAAACTATAAGAACAAAACTTAAAACTGTTTGATCAAGGTGAACGGTTTAAATCATGATACAGAGAAGTTAAACACAAATAAAGCAACCTGGAATTTATGTACTTATATGTTTTACTTCATGACCATACCATATTTTAAGCATGATGTCATTTTACTTTTTAAGGCAATTCATATTTCCAAAAATGTTAGCGTACCTACTATGGAAGATAAAGAATTAACAGATTTCTTCACCAGTAAAACGACTATAGAAACAACTAGTGCAGTTGGACCAGTTAAGCTTCCGACTTTGCCTTCGCAACCAAATAAAGATTTGAACAACGTGTATGAAAGGTAAGAGATTGTAATATTTAACAAGAATATGAATACTGTTTTATTATGACACTTATTGTTAACTACTTATTTTTATCATCATTACAGTTAATAACGTATATTGAACCTTTGATTGATTGGAAAATTTTGACCATTAACTACTAATGAAGAGAGAGTTACGCTTACATTAATAATCTATTAGCCTTGACTACATGTCAGATTTTCGCCAGTCACATTTCATTATAATGCAGAAATAGATGAAAACGACAAGACTTAATCATAAATCTATAATATGGGATATCCAAATATTTAAGAAAAATATGTTCCATATTTACAAATGTAACATACAATGAAGTTTTAAATTTATATTCAATTATATTTTTAAAGGATAGCTGATGCACGACGTGCTGCTAGACCAGAAAAACGTAAACCTCCACGGGACTTAAAAAATCCTTTAAAAGCTTTAGAACAGAGAGAAAACATAAAATCGAACTATGAAGAAATTCGTACACCTTTGGAAGCTATTTCAACAGATCAAGAATCTGGTAAACATATCACACCGTTTAAAACATTATTACGTACAGTGGATCCATCTGTTAGAACTGACCTAGGTAAATTACTTTTTGCAGAATAATAACCATATTATTTATTGATATTTTAGTTAAATATGCTTATTCAATGGAACGTAATTACTAAATAATTGTAACATATTCCAGTACTAAAACTTACAATACGTTTAAGTTTACTTTCTTTTCCAAATTCAGGACATATATGAATTGTTCTGGTCTATACACTATTAGTTTGCTAAGCCATTTTTAGATGTTAATAAAAAACGTTACTCTAGATCCAGCTACCAAAAATCAAAGAAGGCACACTTTACTTTGTGTTTCCAATCTGAAATACGAATTGATGTGCAGTGTGTTAACTTTCTCGTACACCTCCTGTAAACATTTTTTTCTTCTTACAAAAATTAATCTTTCTACTACTGCTGACACTATTGCTGTCGTGAACAAGCACATGGGTGGGCACAACCAAATGTGTTCGGACACTAAATTACAGAATCTATTAGTAAAATCTGAGAACTATACAGTAAATACTTCATTTGAAAAATGTCTATCAATTGTCTTAGACTTCATTGTTTCCACACCGACCATTCTCGGTTCCCGTTATGTTTTCTTCGATCTTCTTGACCTGTTACCGTCATATATTTCACTTCCTATTGATGATACATTCTTTATATATCTGTCGACATCAGTAGCACACACTACACCATATTACTACTTCTACTATTTTGAGCATTGTGTTGATAACTTTATATCACTGGGCTAATTTGTTGTCAAATTGAACTGCCTCTCATGTGTTTATCCAGTCCTAATTTCATTTGACTGACTTGTGACTTAGTTACTTCTAAGTTGTTTTCGGTTAAATTAATTTGAGGGAAAAAACACAGAAAACACATGCATATCTTACTTACTACTTACTTACGCCTGTTACTCCAAATGGAGCATAGGCCGCCGACCAGCATTCTCAAACCCACCTTGTCCTGGGCGTATGCATGTCAATAGTTAATAAAAGTTTATGATAACTTCAAGGTTATAGGAATGGCAATTTAAAAACCAAAGATAAACAACCACTTCCAGAAAGAAATAGAACTCGTTTTAACTAGATAAATAACTTAGAAAATGATAAGTTCTCATACGTTTCTATAAGAATCCACTTTAGTTTTGTTTATATTAGATAAATAAAATTGAAGAAACAAGTGTTTAACAAAAAAAATAAACAATTCAGCTTAACTTACTGTATTATTTCACTATAATGTTGATGTTTAGATAATGTGTCTCATAAACAAAGTATCTTTTACTAAAGTAATCAGATTTTTTTTATGATATGTCAAAAAAAAATAAAATATGCTCATTTATCTTCTGTTTTGCTTCAATAAGGAATATGATCTAATTTTTATACTGTTTATTGTTTGCTGAACATATTGAACAATTTGCATTATCGACCAAGAAATTAATACAGGTAGCCTGCATATTTCGATGTAATCAAATGTCAGTTAGATAAAAATGCGTAGAACACACAAATATACTCTTATTGGAGTCACTAAAACCTGATATCAGGCTCACTGTAGGCAACAGATACAATCAATAACTTGATGTAATTTAATAACTGAACCAATCTACTTAAGCAAAGTATAACAGGAGAAATGTTATAAAAACAACAAGTGTTTTTACTTAATTCTTATCACATTATGCATACATGTGAATGAAATAATGTTTATTTATTGATATAACCAAAAGTTATCTACCAGTATACAAGTAGTGGAGATTATTAGGTTTTTGATTGAGATCATGAACCGGTTGATGATAGACCACCATTGAAAACCTGGAAGCAGTGAACGACCGTTTCGTCCTATTGTGGGACTCCTCAGCAGTGCGCATCCACGATCCCGCTCATGAGATTCAAACCAATGGCCTTCAGTCTCACGCGTGAACGCTTAACCTACTGGACTACTGAGCCGGCATCCAGTGGCTTTAATGTGTAACCTCAACCAATCCACGAAATTGCGTGACTACCTTCCATTATAAGGAGGTGGATACCTGTTTCTACCCGACACGGATTAGCTACACTGGTCACGGCTTCTCACTAGAACTCCGAGAAGTTGTCTGCTGTCCATATCTCAAATTAAGTTAGTCATTACCTTGAAGAGGCCATCAGATTAGTAGTAGCTAGTACTACACATATAATTCAAAATGGTGATAACCGGAAGGTTAGACAATGTAGAAACTGATACTTAAGAAACATATGTACACTTAATGTCTGTGCGTACTTTTCTCTATGAATGATTTTGTTATCAACTTCTGTATAGTCATGAATAGTGTTATGACCAGGAAATGAAAATGAATCCGATGCAATCGTTAACCTATTTCCATAATTAAAAAGTTAGTTTGCATTTCGATATAGTAGTCAAATACTGTAGTATACTAAAATCATATAATTCGGACTAATTGACGGCGGACTTAATACATGATTAACTGGTACTTTCTTCTGAGTTTCATTAAAAATACAATTAGTACATTAAGCGTGACGAATTTCTGAAGCTTCTGCTAAAAGATATTCGAACCTGTTCGAACCACTTCAAAGTTATTTTAGTACAACCTTAGTTTCCCTTTCAAGTGGTTTAAGCCGTATAAATCGTTTAACATGATACTTAGTATATATACTGTTACTGTAGATATTAAAACCCTTCAATAAGTTGATAGAACCATCAGAAATGTTGAAGGCGAAATGCGTGATGATGATTCTAACTAGCTTACATGTCCTAACTAACTACTTATAACACAGAAATCTAAAGATTTTTAATACTTTCTAACAATTCATGGAAATACTGAAAAACAAATAATCATTGATTAAGTGATATCAAATTCTGTTGTGAGCCTTTTCTTGCATTAAGAATTACTTATTAACGATAGATGATCAACACGTATCTTACTAGTAAAACATAAAACGTGAATTCCTTATTCTTGAATTAATCTTATTAATTAGTCAATCAACTATGTGTAGATTTTTATTTTACTAAACATGATTTAACTATAAACAAGTGATATTTACTTATTAGAAAATCGTTTATCTTCTAACAACTTTTTCCCTATTTTACTGACTTTCAGATTTTGCTGCAAAAAACTCAATTCTAACTGATTCAGCTAAAGCTGGTCTCGCATGCTCTGAAGACATAAATGAGGCTAAAGGTAATCTACGTTCAGTTCAAGAAGGACAATCTCTTCGTAACTCATCAACCCAAAAACAACTTTTACCTTACAAACCAATCATGTTGTTGCATATCAAAGGTCAGTGTACATTATCGATACCTGCTGTAACTCAGTCAAAGTGCTATAGGAATGGTTAAACGGAAAAATTAGTAGTTTGTAGCAAAATATTTACACTTTATTATTAATCATTTAGAACTTTAATAATGTGAATCTAGCAATTAATCTGAAGTTTGACAGTAGCATGGTCTCTAAATGTTACAGATAATTTATAAACTGGAAAGATGGAAACTTATGAAAGATTTACTACATTTGTAATATCCTCAAGAATGAAGACAAATTTTTTTTAGATTACTCTTTGCCATACATTGTTCAGATGTTGTTATTAATAAAAATGACAGGTCTTTTCTCTAAGATTAGTTAAGCAATCATAATTTCCTTTCTTTTCAATATTTAACTGAATTTGTAGATACTTATTTACTAATCGTTTAAATTTGATTAATTTATAATACTTCTTTAAAGTATGTGAACGTAGTAATTGTCTCCGACAAGCTTGTTTAGTCTATTTTCATCAAACAATTACATGATCTGAAATCAAGGAAGTTTTAGAACATTTTTGACATCATAGCATCCGTGAAGTACCTATGCATGACATTTGTCAATATCAGAACAGATGACTTTGAATTTCATCAAAAGCATTCAGAACTAAAATCGATTCGCTATTAAAAGAATACCGTCAGTTTTACTTCAAATATATACCGTGTCACCACCTCTTAGTAAACATCAATTTCAAAACAGAATATCGTATGCAAGCTGATTAACTGAGAACCCAAATGTAATCAATAAAAACTATTTGGCCACTCTTTTTTGAATACATCTAGTTATATGTTAAATTAATTGCAATTAAAACTAAGATATTTGAGTCATAATCTAAATGGAATGAATCTTGACACTTTACAGAAATGACGTTTCTGGAAGCCACATATCGTCCTTACCGATAAATCCTAACAAGTGAGGTCAAAGCTATATGACTTCTGACCGGTAGTCTCCAGTACGAGCAGAGTTTCGCATCATACACAAAATTTTCAGTCTGGCAAACTGAATTTTGTACTTGTATTTTATAACATAAAGATTACACCTATGTCATATAATAAAAATGCTTGTACATATAATCAGACAATAATAAGAGATTTTATACTGCTCTTTCTCACTTATACTGTTTATATACTAAAGGTCGACGTCATGTTCAAGTTCGTTTAGTTGCCCCTTCAGCCAAATCTATGAATTCCGGTGACTGTTTTATTCTTATCACAACTGATTCAGTATTCGCTTGGTTTGGTGAATCCGCCAATATTGTTGAAGTGAATAAAACTCGAGAGTTAGCATCATGGATTCACAAAAAGCATGAATTGTCATATACTGGGAATTTAGGGGAAGCAGCACAAAATTTCGGTGATGGTTATATTGCAATACATGAAAATACTGATTCTTACAATGTTGCTGGCTGTTTGGATAATGAGAATCATAATAATACAACTGGTAGTTCTAATCAGCACTATTCTTCAGCTTTAAAGTTTTGGAAAGCTCTAGGTTATAATTCACCACAAATGGTTCATCGTAAGTTATGAGACTAATAAATTATTTTAGTCCCTTTAATTGATGATTTTCTGACATTTTAATAGTCCGATTCAAATGAACTGTTATTAGCTCTATATTTTTGGTACAATACAAAATTCTCAGCCCAAAGTATTACGGTGAGTTTCTGTTTCCTATTTCTTGATCGATACTGACGATAAATATTGAGTGATCGCCAACTAGACATTAGCATTACAGAAGTCAACATCTGAATAATATTCATTCTTTTCAATGCATATTGCCAGCCATCAAGATGTCTCTGATTGTATATTTTTGTAACTTGTATAACGAAAAGTCGTAAACTTTTCACAAACGCACCTGAATAGTTTATGCAATTAATTCACAAAATGAACTTTTAAAGCAAACAAGGAAACAGACAACTTGTTGAAATATTTAGATGGCAGGAAAAGGGAACCCAGATATTCAAGCAGACCGAATATTAATGATTGATAGTTAAATTAAGAGGAAAACTAGAAAAAAGTCTTAAATAAGCTTCATTGATCTCTGGTGATAGAGAAAATGTCTCGATTGCGTTCATTATGAAATGGTAAATTGTCTAAACGAACTAATTATCTGTATCGGATCCATCTACAACTGTCCAGATTCATAAAGAGTTTTATATACATCATTAATAATCGAATTTAGTCCAACTTAACATCATAATATGATGTAGAATTTATAAAATGGAAAATAAATTGAGTTTTTGAATAGATATTACTAAAACCATCGTTAAGTATTAACTTCTACAAATGGATGTCAACTAATGATATAAATATATAAAAGAAATATCACTCGATAAACAATAGTTTACTTTGGGAGCTATTCAATAACTAAATAACTGATGTTGAATGTCTATATGTCATCCTAATGTAGCACAAAACCATATGAAGAGATTTTGTCTAAATGTGTATGTAGATATGTTAATTATATACTTTCTTGAAGATGACTTTCTAATATGAGAATGAGCAACTGATAACCATAATGTTCCAGAAGCATCTTTTTTAGTTTTGAAACATAAATGGAAGATTAAACATGGACAACAGGCAAGAAGTTTTGATGTAAAAGTTGATGCTAGCTGGAGTTCGTCAACGAGACATATCCACAGTTCTCTTAGGAATCGATGCTTATCGTAACATTCAAAACGATCCAACTCAGTCTTACAATTTATTTAATAGATTCTATTCAGTCGTAATTAAGCGCTTGACTAACCATTATATGATCTTAATTCATATTTCTTAAATCGGTCAGTTAAGTTATCGTTGTGTTGCAGAAAATTAAAAGATAAAAGTTGTTGCTACAATTAAGTAACTTTTTCTGTTTCAAAAATTATATCCTATTAGACGCTGGACCACCTGAAGAAGACGAACGCTATGAACTAATGATTCAGCACACCAATCGTGTGTATCGTGTTACTTTAGATGGCTTAATACCATGTGAAGAGTGTTGGGGTAACCCAGTGAAATATCATATCTTACAATCAGATCAGGTTTGTTTATGAATTAATTAATATACTATAGATTTAACGATTAATATTCAACGATGTTTTTGCCAACAATAAACTTGTAATCAAATGTAATACAGTGTATAAACTCTTCAAGGGTTTTAAAAGTGTATCTGCTACAGTTGTTATTGCTTACAGTTTCCTCACAAAGATATCAATTGTCTATACACTACTCTGAAAGGTCACTTTTTTAACAAAATGATCGTGAATTGTGTTATCAAAAGTATCATAAAAAGCAAATAAGAATGTAATAAACAAATTAAACACTTTACAGTTTTCCTAGAAAAATTCTGCACTCATGATGTATCTGTTAGTTTACATCGTTTACGACAGTTTATTGTTAAGAGTGATCAAATATTTCAAGTTATGTTTAGGTGAATCTTAACTATGCATACGATTTCACTATATATCAACAAAATCTTGACTGTGAACAAAGCTTATAATCAAGAAAAATTAATCAGTGATCATTCATTTACGTCCAGTATATTAAATATTTATGTGAATGGTTAATCTATCAGATTCTTAAAGTTCGATATTTAGATCCAGTGATATTGTGTATTTCATGTATTTTGTTCTTACGGACTTAGTTGTTTGGTGCCTTCAAGTGATGAGTGTTAAAAAAACATTGAAACTTATTACTTTAACTTCAATGTTATTTATAACATTTATTCAATGAACAAATATGTCTTTTACTCAATAGCCTACGACTCCAATAAATGTTTCTTTTGTCATACATTTCATGTATCGCACGTATAGGTAAAGAAAGATACCTTCAGATGATGGAGAAGATTTGTAGCTCAGATGGATGATTTTGATGGATTTCTGTTCTCTGAGCTGGATGGTTTGGCTGTGGAGCTCTCATCGTTCTTCTGAACGTTGATGATTTCGCTCCACAACCAAACCATCCAGCTCAGAGAACAGAAATCCATTAAAAAAATGATACCTTCAACATGAAATAATACCTCATAACATAGTATAGCTTAAAACTTTGTAATATTTCAACAACAAAACACTTTCAAAGAAAAACATCAATTTACAACTAAATAATAATAAATTCAACTTATTTATCTGAAATAGATAAGCTACATGTTTTTATATCACTGGCAAAACAAGTTGATTATCACTGATACCCTTCACTTACCACTGGTTGTAATGTTTTGTTATATACATATATATAAATCAACATTTTGTAAAATTGCACTTTTAACAAAAGTTGTATTGCACATATAAAATGTGCAAGAAATAAATCAATTCAAATGTTCTATTTAAGATAAAACATTGATTACCTTAACCATGTGTTACACGTGATTTGTGTTGTTCTTCGAAATTTTTATTTACATTCATCCAATTCAATACATATTCTATCTATGTAATTTGATATTTGATATTTTAATGATTGTGAATGGTTAGTACTATGTTCAAAAGTATTAAGATAATACTGTCTCCTGTATTTTAATTTCAGTAAATTGTATTGACTCTTAGTCTCTTATCAAAATGCCTAACAGTTAAAAAAAGAAGCGAATTGAAGGTTAACTAAAATGTAAACAGAGTGATTAACAACGTAATACAGAATACCCTTTTTATACTGTTGAAATTTTGATTAAAGATTGTTAGTTCAGTTTAATTTAACAGTTGACTAGTATTTAGGTTCAAATTTAAAACTATCCATCTATTAATCTCTTGTTTGATTGGTTGAGATCATGAGTTAATTGAAGCTAGACCATCATGAAAAAAACTTGGAAGCACCGGATGGTCGTTTCGTCCTATCGTAAGACCCCGATCCCGCCTTGCGAGATTCAAACCCAGGACCGGTAGGTGTCGCTCAGTTTCATGGATTAGTTGAGGTTAGATACTAACACTGTTGGATGCTGGCTCCGTGGTCTAATGGTTAAGCGAGCCTTGGGTTCGGATCTTGAGAGGTGGTATCGTGGACGTGCACTGCTGAGAAGTCTAATCATAGGACGAAACGGCCGTCCAGTGCTTCCAGGTTTTCTATGGTGGTCTAGTTGCAATTGACTTATGATCTCAACTATTGAGATTACTATAATATCCACAAAACCCCTCCTGATACTAATCTTTTATTACAAATTAGTAAGTGTTCAAAATTCAACAACTCTGTAAGCCGATTCTATGTTTTATTGTAAAAACATTATTTTTAGTTCTGTTTTCTTTACTCGTTGATACAAGCTGAATCAGTTTTTACTTAAAAGCGGTCAACAATAAGCTTTTACTCTAATTTTCTACCTTTTAGGTCTCACTAGAACTATCCTTATTTCAAGATATACTAATACATGAAAAGTGTACTGACGTACACATTATTGTTATGGTATATAAGCTTATATAGAAGAATACTATGAATTCCCTTAATAGTTTTCTCTTCTGATCATGTTACTTTTAAATTTTTCGCAAATGATCAATTTATTTGTTAAAACTGTTCTTTCAATTAACTATAGGCATTCGTTTTTGACTTTGGATCTGAAATGTATTTATGGACCGGTAAACAAATTACTTCTGAACTCCGTCAAGCTGGTATTGAATTAGTTCATAAGGCATACAACATGAATTATGATTTTGGTCAGTGTAAATTAAACCCACTGGATCCATTAAACTGTAAGTAATAGTACTAGTATTGACTTTTTAATTAATCAGATTATCGATTTTCGATTTAATCATTTCAATGAAATTATTCAGTTCTAAATAGTCAGTATCCGTTTATTATTCATATTGTTGTACCATGTGAATGCATATCATAAATTAAAATTATCATCATTAACGTGTGTAGTAAACAAAACTGATCAGACCATTTATGTAACCTTTAAGTGGTCCAATTATTTTTGAGACAAGCTATTTTCTCTCCCATTTTAAATATTACATTGTTTAATTAAACAGATTTTTAGGTCCTGTATGAGAATTTAAAGATTGAAGTGAAAATTTATTTGGTTTTTTGACATGACCATATTCGGTTTGATTATTTACTACTTTACTTAGTATGTAAGGCGTAATTCTGTTATAAACCTAATTGGAAAGCTTATAGAACATGGTAAAAGAGACAACGTCATTTTCAGTAAAGATTTTATTATTTCTTTGTAATAAATCTTGTCTAATCTAGTGTTTTATGGAAAATATTTTCCTTTGACGATAGTTCACATCATGGAAAAATATTGCCTGGGCATTCACAGATTTCTAGGAAGCACTAGACAGCTGTTTTAGCTTGGAGGTATTCTCTAGTGACCACTTACTACCCAACGTGCCTCCGAATTGAGGACCATAAGATGTTGTAGGGAGTGCCAGTATCATTTGACCGCTGTGAAGGAATTCAGTAGTTCATATCTATTTAATAACATCAATGGCAGACTAACTTATAGAAAATATAGTAAATAATCAACAAAATGATTACTTTGAATCATCAAAGATTGATACAATAAGATTTAAAATCCGAGTTTTGGATTTCAGCTTCAACAATAGAATGCCATTAATCTCGTATCAATTGATCAAATAAAATACCGCTTCTAACGACAGTGTATTCTAGTTGCTTATAACATAGGAAAACCTGTACTTCACGGAAATATGGTTAGTTCTTGAGTTCTGAACTCACCAGTTTCCTTCTACGGGTTGGAAGAAAAGAGAAGTCATATTAGGTGCAAAATCATTATTTAATACGATATGCGTCATAAAAAACATCTTTTAATTTATGGCATGATAAATTAAAGACATATAAATGCTGAAATCACTCGCCATAAGGTGAATCAATCATCACCAGAGTTGCATGGGTAACTGTTTTCTGCACTCGTTTTACGAGCACATACAATAAAGTAACTGGCTATTGACTCGCCTTCTGCGGAAGCTATTATACAAAGAAATACGAATCATAAACAAGTTGATGTTCTCATTAGCCAAACTTTGTTTTAAACCTGGTTTATTATCCACTGTTATGGCTAAGATAGTAAAACAGTTTATTAGCGAACTAGATGAAAATCATTGTTTTGATAGTATTGGTTGTACGAAACGTTATGAAATTCTCCCCTTATATATGATGTTTCAAGACATGTGCTGTAATGATATGCGGATTGATTTTTATTATAAAATATCGTGTTGATATAGTTATTTTTCCTTTTGCAAACTGCCTCAACACCAAAATAATAATCCTTTTGTTTCAAAGACATAATATTTAGTAGACTATATTTCAAAGAGGATTCATCAGAGGATATAGTAATAAGTAACAAAGAAACCCTGATGGTTGAAACGACGTTTATAAATTTTGATAAAGATTGAAACATTAAAAGTCAACGACAACTATAATGTCGACGAATATAACTTCAATTCTTGTTTAAAGAGAAAAAGGTGTTTGCGATTATGATTTTAAACAGTTTGTCTATCGTATTAGTAAAAGCTTCTATACGGTTAGTTTGACAGTCAGTTATCTCACTTATCTGATCCATATCTAATGTAGGATTCCTTAATGGTGGCAGGTACTTACGATTTTTTGTACCACTGAAATGAATTACTTAATCTATGTTTCTAACAATAAATCAGCATAATTACATCTGATTTATATAAGTAGTATTTACATGGAAGATTCAGTGTATACATGTCAAAGTAAAATTCGTTTCACCCCCAAAATGCTATCTCTTTTGTTCAATAAATAAAAATATATTTGTAGTATCCCAATGAGTAGAAAATTGGATTTTCTGACGTTTCGTGGCTTAGTGTAAGTCACTTCTTCAGAGAATAAATAACCAAAATTAAATTAATCCAAGTTTAAATAGTACAACGGAACAATGCAAGAATAATATTTGATCAATCAAAAACAGGTCTGAACAAGTTGATGTCATGTCATTTCTGTCAAGGTGATTCATAAGTGATAAGTATGCAAATGTGTGTGTGTATGTATATGTGCATTGTTTAAGAATGAAAACTTGTGTGACCTTTATGGTAAGAAAGGATAGAGTTTAAATTTGTAATATGAAAGTGTGAAATTGTTCAATGTTCGGATTTCATCTAATTGTAATTGAATATTTAATAGTGGAAATGTAAAATTTGAAGTAGATCTCAGTGTATCGATTTGACTCTGGACTGTAATACTATCAGTTGAATTTGAGCAAATCCAAATTAGACTTCTGTGATCTGATATCGATTATGTATTTTTGGCTATTATCATGTACACTGACAATAAACATTGTTATAAATATCATTTTATTTATAACAAACTAGTTATTTCACCATACTTTATCTACTACATGACTGACACCATTTAGTAATCTTTTACTGTTTTTAGTTGTGTTTTTTTTTCCTTTCTTTCGAAGTACGACAGTAGTTTAATGTACTGAATTTATTGGTATATCAATATCTGACTTAAATGAATGATTGACAGACAAACTAAATGATTAGTTTTTCACTTTACTTATGCTATGTATTTCAAGCATCTTAAATCGACTGAATTGATAAAACCAAGCGAATGTTATTTTTCAACAGTCCTATGTATCTAATTACATATTTTTGTCGAAGAATTAGGAGAAGTGTATATGATATGATATGTTATCATGAATTGATATGGCTCAATATACTTCACTTAACGTTGTAGATATTCAGAACAATTTCAAAAAGAAACAAAAAAACTGTCACAGAATGATTTACATTATCAATAAATAAATAAAAGGATAAGGAAGTAATTTTTTTAGTTCTTGAAACCTTCATAAAGTGTACTTGTTGTTATATTTTTTTATGACATTGTGTAACTGTATGTAAAGATAAATGATATTAAACCTGATTAATTTATACACTGGTTGATGAATCTATGTATACGTCTATGTCAAACGATTCTGTATTTAAATAGTTTGTTTCGGAAAAAAAATATGTTACTTATTTTTCATAAGCTGAATAAAGTCGTATTCATCAATTGATACAACTGGAAACGTTGCTTTTATTCGATGATTATGACTTTCACAAGATGTAAAATAAGCAACTTTAGTTTCACGATTATTGGATCACTCATTATCAGCTGATGTTGATTATTAACTCGAAGGATTTGAATTTTCTTCAGTAAAACCTACAAGTACAATTTTGTTTAACTAATATACATACGTTTAAAACAATTTTATTCAACAAAATGAAGAATCTTTTTGATCCGTAGTAAGTGCATCTTATTATTTTTTTAAAAAAATTGTTTTAGCACACACCAGTGATATATTAGCTTCTGGATCCAAACGACCAGAATGGACTTTATTAGGCAAAGTAACGGATAGAGGTGAAACAGTCTTATTTAAAGAGAAATTCTTTGATTGGCCTGATACTTCAAGAATTCAAATAAAATCATTGAAACCTGGAAAATCAATCTCCACGGAGGTAGGTATAAATATATTTATTTGTTAGTCTCATGTAATTAGATTTTTTTTTAAATTCACTTACACAAACCATAAATCAACTATGATGTATACTTATTCTACTAATTTTGTAGTATACCATTTTTTTGTTCTAAAGTATGGTATGTAGTTCTATTACAACTAAGTAATGATAAATCTATAATTCAATGGTTTCTAGGTAGCAAATTCTAGAATCTTCTTTATTATATTTAATCTCTTAACACATTTATAATATTATTATCTCAGTTATGACAACAGAATAATAATAGTAACCAAGTATTCACATTTATCCAATTTACTAAACTATAGTAAGACATACGTTCTAATTAGTTGTACAAAGAATATAATTTAGTAAATTATTATAAAATGAATATTTACTAAGTAAAAGTACTAATAGACAATTTGTATTGGATATTTATTATTATTATTTCATTGAATGAATCCAATGAAACAATTAAGATCAATTTGTCGGTATAGTTTTATCTTTTTAACTTTTATAATCTGTAAAATGCTGAGAAATTCATGATAATTACAATGGTTGAAATCATGAGTCAGTTGAAGCCAGACCACCATGGAAAACCCGGAAACACTGGAAGGCTGTTTCGTTCTAGTATGGGACTCCTCAGCAAAGCTCGTTCACGATCTCGCCCCCCCACCGCGAGATTCGAACCCAGGACCTATCAGTCTCGTGCGCAAGCGCTTAACCACTAGACTACTGGCCCAGCATCCAATGGTGCTAATGTCTAACTTCAACTAATCCACTAAATTGGGCGATACATCCACCATTGTCCTCTGTGAGCTGATATCTCAAAACAGACCTGATTGAACTCCACTGGTCACTGTTTCTCACAAGAACTCCAGGATATATCTCTTGAAGCCAGTCACTAGTGAGCATATGTTGATTAATATCAGAAGGGGTTTTGTGAACATTATAGTAATTGCAATGATCTCAACCATTGGAATTACTATAGTGTCCACAAAACTCCTTCTCCAATATGATAATGTTGATTTTCTCCTTAGATCAATAATTTAACATTTATCAGTTAATAGATAGAAAAAAGATCTAGATCAGTGTAAACTGTTTTGATTTATATTAAATACGTTATTCACAAAGATGGACAGTGGATAGCAGTAGAATCCAGGATGTGGGTTTCGTCATATTTGGGACTCGTCAGATGGATGTACCTGTATCTCAGGGTTGATGTTCATTACAGGACTTGGACTCAGTACCGTTCACTTCAAACGCCATCGTGTTATCCAGTTAGCTACCGAGTCCTGACAGTCACTTGCTTGTGCGATGGGGTGAAGTTTAAGTTGACTTGGTATTGTTTACTCGGATCTTCGCATTGATGTTTAGGACTGAAATTTATCAGTTTGTTATTGGCGTATGTGCATATTGTGCGTATTGCCTAGATATTGCCAGAGTGAGCATCGACTCTGAGATGCAGGTACATAAAGCTAATGTGTCTCAAATAAGATGAAACGCGCGTCATGGATTCCACTGCTAACCACTATCCATCTTTGCCTAGAATGTTTGTGAATTATATCAATATCGAGGCAATTCGCACAGTATGCACATAATAGACTGATCAATTGCAGCCCTAAACATCAATGGAACGCTTCAAGTAAACAATACGAAGTGAATTAAAGAATTGTTCACATTTATGTACCTTTCAATAATTAATATTTCAAAACTCATTTACAAGTTTGATTAACAAATGATAGTCATTTTACATAGTACCTATTCATAAATTCATGATTCATGTAAACAGATGGTTGTGTCAGTGTACGCAGTATATAAGTTGTCCAATTCGTTTCTAAAGTTTATAGAATGTGCGGTATTCTTAGATGGTAGGTGAATTTTGTGTAAAATATATTTTACAATAAATGTTCATATTTACAAACACAGTTTTCCTAATGACTTTCTTGATGAATATTTTAAAGAGTTCTCCTGCTATAGCTTCATTGACTATGGAACCATATCCAGCTAATGAACTCTATGAAACTGCAATTAATAATCCACCACCTCCTCCAAATCTACTAACACTTGAAGGACGTTACATTGGTCGTGGTGGTAAAGTATTTCGTTATGAAGATGGTATAATAAGACAGTTTTGGGTAGAAACAAATGAACTTCGTGTATGGCATATTTCCGAATTTGCTAGGTACGAAATACCTTTAACAAGTCATGGACAATTTCATAGAGAAGATACATATGTCATCAGATGGTCATATAAAATTGCTTATAGTAAGTAAATATTTTCGTTTATAATTGTTAAAAGTAAAATGTTGATGGTGACTTTGACGACGAAAAGATTTTATTATAATTGCAGCATCTATTTTCGACAAACATTTATGGTAATTGACCATAAAATCGTAGACTAACATTTCATTTCTATCCGCTACAGAAGTAGGAGAGCAGAGTTATTTGAAGTATGTCCTCGTTGGATCATGTCATGAAAGTCGCATCTGTAAATAACCCGTAGTCCTTCAGTCTGAGGCTTTACATATGAAGTGTATTAAACTAACTCAAGTGTATCTCAATGTTCTCATATTTTTGTACTGAAAGTAAATGTCAAGTTGCAGAGTTGCAAATTTATTTATTTCCTCTTTGTAGTTAACTGATCAATATATTGTTCCTAGAAAAATTGACACATAGAAATTTTAATATATAAAATGTTCCCAGTGTAATATATCACCAATTGTATAAGCTTAATTTTCATCTATTTAATAAAGATGGAAATGATTTTTACCTCATTTGCTTCAGGCTTACAGAAAGCAAAAACTGAAGTACTTTTCATCGTGTTTAAAATTATTTAGCATTAAGATTCAGTTATGTTATTTTCATGCACCTAAGAATACTTAGATTGAATGTTTAGTATTCTAACGAAACTGTAGCTTAATATCTTCTGTACACATAAATTGTGGTTAAATTTACGAATTCCTATGGCTTCAGCTATATGTAGGAGGTGGGAATGAATTTCGTTGAGAAATAAGGTATACGATAGATCACTCGAAACGCTTCCGATTTATCTACATTATGACCGCTATCAATAAGATATGCCAAGATAGAACTGTGTTTTGTTTTTATCTAGCTACTTATAAACCAAGCTGGTAGATGTTCACTCATTCGTTGGTTAAGTTACCTGGTAGTACGCCCGATATAGCTATCGCCACAGGAGCAGCTGAATTTGTAGATGCGCATTGAGGAGACCTACTGAGGTAACTTATCCTTCGTTTGAGTAGACATCACTGGTTGACTCGAGAAGATCAACTCAAGATTGGTTGCGTAGAATGTCGTGCTAATTACTTTCGTTAACCTATCTTTCAGAGTATCACTAGACACATCCCCGTTGAATTGTAGTTTCATGTATAATTTAAATGATGAATTTATTAATCTAAGTTGTGATCTTTTAGTTAAGAGATGACAGTTGATGTTGAACATTGTAGTGATTAAAAAACGTTAACTGTATGAATGAATACATATGGATTTTCATAACTTGATTCATTTCAAATAACATTAACATATAAAATGCCATAATTACTTACTTACTTAATATTCCTCGTGGAGGAGCATAGACCGTCCACCAGCACTCGCTATCCAAACCATAATTGGTCAACACAAATAAACCTTACAACTAACATTGTTATGTTTATTACAAATGTCTAAAAATATCACTGATGCTCTAACTTATTAGTTCATCGTTTCTGCTTACAAAATGATATTATCAACAAATCTTAGATGAGTATTGTTGAAATTACAAGTAAAAGGAGGCTACCTGCATCGGTAACATTCTTCAAGCTTTTTAGTCTAACTCTTCCGATTAAATCATTCACAATATGTATATTGTAGACATATAATTAATCTACTTTTTAACAATATTTCATTCAATGATTCGACAAATTATAAATTATTTTGAATGATAGTTTTAAATGAAACCTAAAATATGGACAGAATTTATTTCAAATCTACAGCTGTTCACTAATTAATTACCGGTGTTATGTTGTTTTAAATCATTTGAACTAGTTTAATGGACAAAGATTAAATGAAACCTACTGTATATTCCCAATGTTATAGTTAAGTTACCTTTTTTTAACTGAATTATAAAATTGCTTATTAGGTATATTTCTTGCAGGTAGCAAACTAATAATTGTCCATTATCACGACCATAGTCAATTAATCTTGTTCTTCATTTCATAGATAAGTCGATGCAAGATACCAAAGTGTTCACATATATATATATATATTGTAAACTAAGAACACATTTGGAAACAGTTGTGTTTGGTGTATTAAAACTGATCAAATTAAAAATATCACATTTAAACTTTAACGAATTAACCTTTTTGAACTGTGGCAACCATAATGATAAACGACTAAATGATAAGTTATCTGTACAAATAATAGTTGTATTATTCGTATGTTTATTTAATACAACATAAATAATATCTTTAATGGACAAATTCAAATTAAAAGCATTGACAATTACTAATCATATAGATATGAATAATAATATCAGTCAGTCATTCATATGAAAATTAGAACTAGACACATATGTACATAGATTCAAGTTGTTATATGACATTTACACAGCGTGATTCTAGAGTATTTTGGCTATTAACAATATTAGTGGTTGTAAAAGACAATACATACAGAAGATATGATTCCAAAAGAAAATATGAATTCCTGGAATATAAAAGATTACTAGGTTAATTTTTTTTAAAAAAACTGAAGATCAAAATGAAAATAAAGAGTGCCAATTTAAAGGATTCTTTACTAGGTATCTTTATCAAGCTTTGACTTGATAATTCTAAATAAATTGAGCAATGGGTAGATTGTTATTAACATCCCATGGAGCAGAAAAATTAAATTTTCTGACGTTTTGTGACTCAGTGTAAGCCGTTTTCTTTTTCAGAGAAAAAAAGCAAATAGAATTAACTCAATTTTAATTAGTACAAAGGAAGGAAAGAAAAATATTTAGAATAGCCAATAAAAAAAACAGGTCGGGCCAAGCTAATGTCATATCATTCTGAGCTAAATCATCCAAAGCCTCTGACTACTGATTATGATAATCACGTAAAAACTAATCTATTAGTCTACACCTAATTACTCAGTTCAACTTAACAGTTAATGATTTCATGACTGATGCCACGTTTCGGTCTCGCCACTATTTTCTTTCAAATCATTCCTGCACTAACTATCATTACTCTTCGAGAGGTTATATAAAAAACGATTGATATAATATATATCGCTCGTAAGGAAGTATGAAGTGACTTTTTAGGCATTTCCATACTCATTTCTACCATCAAACTTATAATAATATATGTAAGATATCAAGTGTACATACAGTTCTCTTGATGAAAACAAACACTCATGTTTTAAATGTCTAATTCTTATTGATTACTAAATGAAGTATTTTCAAAGCTTGAAAATTTTAAATTATTTGCTTGCATATTTATAAAGAAAATGAAGAGTTCCAGTAAAACCTTTCCAAAATATTTTTATAGGAAATATTCTTCTCACTATGTTTATGGTTCACAGCTTGTCCTGTACCACATATAGAGAAGTTCAAACATTTCACTTCTACCTGAAGTTTGTGCTGGTGACGTCGTTCAACAGAACGATGAAAACTCCGCGATCAAACCATTCAGCTCAAGGAACAAAAATCCATCAATATACATGACTTTTTTCGATGAAAAATAATTCAAAGATATGTGTGGCTAGAAAAAAACAATAAAAAAGAAATCACAGCATCAGTTGTTTAGTCATTATCCATAATATTATTTTAATCAACATCAAGGTCTAGTTACTAGCCCTCTCCCCTTTCGCATTGATCAGAAATTACTAGTATAGGGGTTGTGGAGACTATTAAGTTTTTGATTGAGATCATGAACCGACTGATGTTAGACCAGTGATTCCAGGTTTCCAAAAGTGATCTAACATCACTCGGTTCATGATCTCAATCAATAACCAGAAATTATTCACCTATCACATGAAAATTCATAATATTGGCTTATAATTACTTTTTTATTGAGTAAACCAAACTTTTGTATTAAACCTCTAATTCACCACTAAACATTAGATTCAATATCATTGATCTTTTGTCCTATTTATTATTGAATCCCATTTTATTATTTTTTTAATTAATTAATTTCATTATTAGCCAGTTTACAAAATAGCAATAAACGTCCAACTGAAAATGTTCGTGAACATTGTGCTTATTTCTATTGGCAAGGATCACGAAGTAAAATAACAGAAAAAGGGGCAGCTGCATTAATGACTATTGAATTAGATGAAGAAAGAGGTCCACAGGTTAATTATTTTTCTTTATATTAATATTTCAATTTATTATATAAATCAAATTAATTGATATCGGTTAGACAATGTAGACATTATCACTAGTGTCAATATTACTGGTTTTACTGTTAAACAAATTCGAAATTGACATAAAATGATAACAGACTAGGAGATCATTTTTTATCATATTCATTTGAACCTCAGTGAATAGGTATGAACGAAATACCCCTACACACCGATCTTTATTCCAATATATGAGTCAAACTGATTCATCAATCAATCACATATATCTGTTTTCTTCATACAAACCGCCTACTGATTAGGCAGCATCACTGATGAACAGGGTGGATCTGATGATGATGTGGAGGCACGATTCGGTAAAGCAAAAGCAACAATATCTACAATTGAAGAATATCTGCAACTCAAGACAACTGTCAACCAACACCAAACTCACAATTTTCAATACAAATGTCAACACAGTTCTACTGTATGTGGCGGAAACCTGGAGAACTACCAAAGCCATCATCCAGAAAATGCAAGTGTTTATTAACTGTTGTCTATGCAAAATACTTCGGATCCGTTGGCCATTCACTATAAGCAACAACCAACTGTGGGAGAGAACAAAACCAGATCCCAATGGAGGAAGAAATTAGTATGAACCACTGGAAGTGGATAGAACACACATTGAGGAAAGCAATCAACTTCGTCACCATACAAGCTCTCACTTGGAATCCTCAAGGCCAAAGGAAAAGAGGAAGATCAAAGAACACGTTACGCCGAGAAGTGGAGACAGGTATGGGAAAATAAACAATAATTGGATGGAACTAGAAAGGAAGGCCCAAGACAGAGTGGGTTGGAGAATGTTTGTCGGTGGCCTATGCTTCATTGGGAGTAGCAGTAACTAACTTACTCGTTGTCCTATTGTTAGCGGGACATAGACTAGATTAAAGCATGCTCAATGCATGATTGCTTTGGTGCACGCTGATTGGCTGATTCTTATCCAATCAGCACTAGTCGATAGTCGGAGAATACTCTGGAATCTTCTTATGTAAAAACTATAAATATACCGACGTTTTCCCCTGTTGTGCTTCTGACTTGCTATTTGGAATATAATCTCTTTCCTGTTCAACCGTGTTCTGATTTGGGGACTTGTCGAGTGAATCGGTGTCCAAGAATACTAAGCAATAGAAATAGCTGGGTCATTAACCAGTAAGAAGAAAGAGATTATAACACCTATTCAACAGTTAGAACGAAATTAGGAGTTTAAATATTGAAAATCCCATATCGTAATTCAAATAATTAATAATTCGTTTTAAAGTTAAACTTTAAATAATTGTTTGATTGTATTGCATAAATGAGAATGTGCATACCTCATTCATTTTTGTATTAGTTATTTGAAGTCTCAGAGTGAATACCAAAGCTCTGGAATGCTAGTACATCCGGTTGATGAGTCCAAAATAAGACGAAACACGTGTTCCTAATTCCACTGCTAACAAATGTTTATTTCTGTATATAATATTTTCATACTGTTCATATTATTAAAGCGATTCTAAAGTTAGTAGGCACTTCCAGCTGTGTTTATTATAGAGGAAAAAACTGGTTATCAATTTATTGTACAATATATTTTATTTTAATAATAATAATGAACAAAGCAAAAAACTGCATGATTTACAACAGTAACAAAATAAGTAACAGTTCAATGCTTCTTATTACATGTAAACAGGTTAATACTACAACGAATGAAATGATTGAAAAAAAGGCTTGATATATATTTTAGTTAATGAAATTGAAACAGAAATATGGCATAAAACAGTTGGTTATAGGGATAACATTTTATAAGCATTCTTTTCATTAACTAATTTAAAGGTGTCATATCTTATGGCCTTTTTCCCCCATTCAATATATGACGTATTGATACCGCCAATTAGAGAACAGTGAATTATCAACTGCACCAAAGACGTGTAAAACCCGTACGAGCAGTCTATAGACTTTATCGTATCGTATTGGTCCATAGATAATTCTCAAGTGTTACCATTCATAATTCTTGTCGGGATATAACAAAAAAACTTCAGTATGTTCACTTGTTTAAAATAGAATCTAGTCAGGCAGTTTTCACAAAAGACTGATAATAGCTGAAGGACTAGTGAAAGTAGCTGACCATTGTACAGCTGATTCACGTTTAATTAAAATGAACTAGTTGTCTAGCGCTCCATGGTTTTCAATGGTTTTTTAGATGGTTTCAATTTGAGAGGAAAACTATAATCATTTTACCAATCGCTCATAATTTATTTGAGAATCATAAATAATAATTGGGATTTTCAAAGTAATTGGGTAGCCAGTGATGCGAATTTCTGGTAATGGTAGTGGCATTCCTCTACGACATTCCTTTTTATTTGGATTTAGGAATGATAATGTAGTTCAACATAACAATAGAAGCTAGCTCTGAGAAAGCAGCAATATAAATATCTCAGAATAAATGATATTCTGTACGACACATGGTGGGTAAAAAGTCCTTTTTTAACAAAAGTCTGAATTTCATCCACTTGATGGCATCATTCTTTTCCTAATAATAAAAAATCCTCAGAGTAAAAAAAACACTCACAATATTTCCTTAATTTTATATTTGTAACAATAATTAGATAAGAGTGATCGAAGGAAGAGAACCACCAGTATTTTGTTATCTATTTAACGGTCGAATGATTACGCATGAAGGAAAAAGAACTGCACTAAAAGAAGTAAGTTCTAAGAATTTATTTCAAGGGTAAAATTTCATTTTGATTGCTACATGATTACAGTGATGGGAAATTTAAACTTAACTTGTTTTCACTTTTCAAATAATTTCATAGTTAACGCTAAGGAAAAAGAATATCCAGGCCTATTAGGATTAAAATCTACACACAACTCCTTCTGATAATAAACATCTGCACACTAGTGACTGACTTCAAGAGGCATTTCCTGAAGTTCTAGTGAGAAGCCGTTACCAGTGGAGTTCAGTCAGGTCTGTTGTGAGATATCAGCTCACTGAAGACAATGGTGTATGGTGGCGCAATGTTGTGGGTTGATTGAAGTTAGACATTAACACCATTGGATGCCGGCTCAGTGGTCTAGTTGGTTGAACGCGTGGCGCGAGACTGATAGGTCATGGGTTCGAATCTCACTGCGGTGGATAGGGTCGTGGATGCGCAATGCTAAGGCGTCCCATACTAGAACGAAACGGCCATACAGTTCTTCCAGGTTTCCCATGGTGGTCTAGCTTCAATTTATTCATGATTTCAACCATTAGAATGAATTAAAAGATAATTTATGAGTAAACTTATTAACGTTCAATTACATTTTGTTTTGTTTAAAACCAGTTACCATTGGATAAGTTTATCAGTAATAATGAATGTTAACCATCGAACAAGAATACATTTTCATATCACAAATGATACTGGATTTCCACCCATTAGAAATACTTTTTTTGACTCATTAAGAAGCATATGTTGTCACCTGTTGTAGTTGAGATATAACTATAACCTCTTATTAATCAGAAATCATAATCAAACAAATAATTTTTAATGGTCATTTGTTTATTAAATTACTTTTAAAACAGTGAAACCGTATTTCCTTGTTTATTTTTTTGGGGGGAGGGTTTCACATGATATTGCCAACTTTAGTTAATTAATTATATTTCTGATATTATTTCTCTTTCCATGTTAAATATCAAGTTCTAAATTAAAATAAAACAGTTATACAATGTCAACTAATTTCCGTATCTGTTGTTAGATAGAAAGCAACTAATGTGTAAACCATTGATTCATTTGTCATAGTATAAAATACTAAATAATATTCGAATAATTAGTCTTTATTATTGATTCTTAGGTGTTTGATCTTCTTTCATAAGCAAATAAGACAGTTTTCATCTTAAAATTAGATAATATCCATACTTTTATTCATAATCTACTAGTGGCTAATCCAACGATAAAACTCAAGATTTCGATGTGCGTTAGAAAATGAGTTTCTATTTAATTAGTAGAGTGGGTAAGATCAGATTCCAGTCGTAGTATGTTAGTGATATAAACCATATTGTTTTGATTCAATTAAATTCATAATTATATTCGTGCAGAAATTTCTGATAAATGTATTTGACTGCATATTTCTGAATCACACTTTACATTTATTTCCATTTCAAGTTCACTACACGTATGTTCATTGTCCGTGGTGAAGTTATGGAAGAAGGTCATCTCATTGAAGTTCCAGTTCAGTTAAATTCATTACGTCCACAAGGTGTCTTATTATTAGTGCAATATACCAAATATCCAATGACAGATTCTGCTGAAATTATTAGAGCATTTTGTTGGATTGGTCAGTTAGTACCACCTAGTTATTTAACAACAGCAAAATATGTTCTCAACCAATTAAAGAAATGGTGAGTTTAAAATAATCTCTGTCTAGTAATCAATATCATATTGTCTAGTCTTTAGAATTAATTAGATCCTATCAATCAAGTTGCAGTGTATTCACTAGTTTAAGGAACTGCATATCTTAGTGATTTAAGTCTGTTGTCAAGTAATCTTAGAAAATTATCAAGTGGATATCACCCTGGGCTTTGTACTACCATTTAGTTGACAAACATTGCCTTACAAATGGGATTCGAGTTTGAATCACCTAGTGATTAAATTGATTTACAGAATTAAACCATTTGTATATTTGATTCATCAATCCTCCAGTTCACAAATCTATGAATGCTAACCGATTACTAAACTATATTAAACCTATTTATCAGTTGAATATATTCGATTCAGATTATAATGTTTAGACATCTCTAATTTATTGTCATACAGTGTATGATGTATATATTTCTAAAATTTACAATTGACAGTAACAATAATGTTTGTTTTTACTTTTAATTTTTTGTAAAGTTGTCCACCAGAACTTGGCAAACAATTAAATCTGATTTATGAAATTCATCAACATGATAAAAATGAACTATCTAAAGAATTTTTAAATATACTCAATTCTGAAGATCAATTATCGAGTCCATTATGCTTAGATTCAATAAAATGTAAGAGTAATGTATTATAAACAATTCTGCTTATCGATTTATGTATTAAAAATATTAGAAAAAAATTATATTAGCTAATTAATGCATATTCCTTTAATGTTTGTATTTCTTTACAACTTATAACTTCAACAACTGAAACTTTGGAAATATTAATGCTAGTTTGGTCGTATGCATCGACTAGTCAAATATCCCTGTTCTCAACTTCTCTATAATGAGTTACTATATATATATATATCTTCGTTTTTTGGAAGCTACGACTGCATTATTTTCCATTTTCTTACCTCACTGCATTGAGGCATGTCCCATGCAATCAAAATTGATCAAATAATGTCAACATCAGCCTACATAATTTACTACATACTTACTTACTTACTTCCGCCTGTTACTCCTAATGGAGCATAGGCCGCCTATCAGCATTCTCCAACTCACTCTGTCATGGGCCTTCTTTTCTAATTCCATCCAATTTTCGTTCATTTTTCTCATGTCTATCTCCATTTCCCGGCGTAATGTGTTCTTTCGTCTTCCACTTCCCTTTCGGCCTTGAGGATTCCATGTGAGGGCTTGTCTTGTGACGCAGTTGGGTGTTTTACTCAATGTGTGTCCTATCCAATTCTAGTGCTTCTTCTTAATTTCTTCCTCCATTGGGATCTGGTTTTGTTCTCTCCCACAGTTGGTTGTTGCTAATAGTGTCTGGCCAATGGATCCGAAGTATTTTGTGTAGACAACAGTTAATAAACAGTAGAACTGTTTTGACATTTGTATTGAAAATTGTGAGTTTGGTGTTGGTTGACAGTTGTTTTGAGTTGCAGATATTCTTCAAATGTAGATGTGCTGCTCTTGGTTTACCAATCCGCGCCTTCACATTAGCATCAGATCCACCATGTTTATCAATGATGCTGCCCAAATATGTAAAGTTTTTGACATCTTCCAAATCTTCTCCGTTAATTGTGATTGTATTGTTGTATGCCGTGTTGTATCTGAGAATCTTGCTTTTCCCTTTGTGTATATTGAGACCTACTGCCGCTGAGGTTGCTGCTACACTGGTCGTTTTTTCCTGCATTTATTATTGCGTGTGCGATAGAAGAGCTAGATCATCTGCGATGTCTAGATCGTCCAGCTGCATCCTAGATGTCCACTGTATCCTGTGCTTCCCTTCAGATGTTGACATCTTCATGATACAGTCGATCACCAAGAGAAAGAGAAAGGTTTATTGAGTGAGCAACTTTGCTTGACACCGGTCTTTACTTCGAACGAGTTTGTGAGCTGTCCTCCATGCACGATTTTGCAGTTTAATCCATCTGTTCTGGCATTAAACATTTGTGTTTAACACTTCTTAGTAATATATATATATTGTTCGTGATAACACTAAAACACATCATTTGCAACGTTTTTGATTTCAGTCACTAAAAAATGAACCAAAAAAAAACACGTTTTATCGATGATTTTCAAAAACGATGAACATGTAGTTTAGACTATAGCCACTGTACTTCTAGAATCGTTTTTTTGTTTTTGTTTGGACGTATGAATTGTTAAGTGATCAATCGATTTCATTTATATTTCTATTCTTATCTGAAAGATTTTCTAATCCCATTTCAAACTTTCATTGCTAATTAATTCCTGAATTCCATCGAATGATTGATATGAGTTTTATACTTATTGATGAAAACAAAGTTTATTGATTAATTTTATCAACTGCTTAGTTTGAAAATTGATTTTTCTCTTATTTTTTTTCTTGAATGTTATTGTTAAACATAACACAGTGCAAAACTATCCACATGGAAACATGAACATACATGGATTAAATGAAAATTACTAAAGGCTTTGTAATTAAGCTCCACATCAAATTTCACATGTCAAGATGAATTTAGCTTCTGTTTTTATTTTGAAGTTTCTTTATTTATCTTTTCATAGTTTATGAGTGTTAGTTCATATCTATTTGAGCTTACTTAAAAATGGCATTACTGATGAATACGTCTAAGGCTGTTCAGCTTCTCATTCTTCATATATGAAAGTTATTTCTAATTACTTATGTTGTCCGAAGAGTGTACTTGTTTGGCTGTGAAGTAGTCGGGAGTAGAAGTTGGAAATTTATCTGCTTATTAGTTGAAGCCTTATATTCTTTAGACTTGATATTTTTCAATCTGTTATCATATCGAACCTGTAAATAATAATTAAAACCTATTTATATTTTAACATTATTAGTATTCATTCAGGTAACTTCTTAAGAGTAGATTACATGTGAAGAATTATTAAAAGTCAGTTTAGGATTGATTTTGCCAACATGTTCCACAAAATTGTAGAAACTTAGTTTGTGCATCATTGTAGTCAAAGCAAGTGAAAATTGGTCTTTAAAACTACATTTTTTTAGATACGTAAATTATTGTACATATAATCAGTCAAAAAATTCGAGGGTGAAACACGTATAACAAACATTAGTGGGACGTGCAATGAATAAATACTTATTAATGAAATTCGTACTTATTAGACGATTCCAATTTGATTGACTAGTAATTACATAAAATCGGACTACACAAAAGTTAGATATACTTGGAGTACTGAAGGTTTAAGATCTCACATAATGAGTCACTTGGATTGTGAGCATAACTAACAATCATTAAGGATCAAATGTATATCTTGCTCAAATTTAAGAGTCAATTGTGGATGTTTGTTACCCTAAGAAAGACAGCTACAGTGAAAATACCATCGGATCACAGTTTAGTGGTCTGAAAAAATTACATTCCTCATAGCCTGTGAGTAAGGAGTTCAACTCTCTGTACTTGTCTTGGTGCACACTTCTTAGAATTTCTAAAGAAATTTAAATGATCTATATTTTACTTCTTGGTTTTCAACACTTTGCTGGCAGGATTCAGTTTTCATAATAATAATTATGTTGGTTTTTAAGATTTTCTGGGACAAATGTAGTTAAGTGTCAAGCTGACAATGATTCTTCTCTTCTTTTGTATTATCCCAGTTTTTTTGACATTGACAACAAAGTATTTTCTTGGCAACCTGAATTGTTTATTAATCTTATTACTTACTTACGTGTGGAGCATATGTTACCCGCTAACATACCCTGTCCTGGGCCTTCCTAGTTTTTTTCCAATTTCTATTCATTCTTTTGATATCTGCCCCCAATTCCTGGTGTAATGTTTCCTTTGGTCTGCCACTTTTTATTTTGCTTTGATAAGTTCAAGATATGGCTTGTTTGGTGAAGGAGTTTGATGATTTCCTCAATGTGCACACTGTTCACCTCCATCGTCTTTTAGTAATTTCCTCTTCAGTTGGAAGTCAGACTATTCTATAACACAACAGGATGTTGCTTATGTTGTCAGCCCAATGGATTCGATTATATTATCTAATTACATGAATATCTTATTTGATTAACTTTCTACCTACATAATAATAAACTGACCATCAAATTTTTAAACGTATTCTATTAATCTTGCTTATTTTGGTTGAAAATATGAGAATAAACAAAATAAATCAAAATAGAAATGTATGACGTTTTTTATCAAGGGTTTGGGTAACAATCTGACAAAGAAAATGATTATGGCGTATTACAATTCACAGCATTCAATGTTCTTATCTTGTAAAATTCAGTGAATTTCCATATCTCATTCGTTTCTTTTTGGTTGCTTATATTCTTATTTCCTTTAGTGTATTGCTCGATAATTATTAAAAAATATAGATATATTTACTCTAAGCTCTTACGTTTGCAAACTGAGTGTAATTGAACGTGAGAAAATATTTAAATTTTCAAAATTAATTTATTCATATGGTAACTTGTTTTTCCGTCCTTCATATTAGCTCATAGTCGAATGGCTATCTGGCAATTTACACACCATAAAGGACGCAAACTAGGTGTGGAACGATTAAATTATACTCTTCAGCCAGATCCGGCAAGTTTACCATTTGATGAGACATTGATCAAAACTAATACTAATAGTGTATCACCATCATCACAATCTACTGAAGGAGTTACTGAACGATTTTTAGCATCACAAAACTTAATAACTGTCCACTTATCTCAGTCTCTTATAGAGCCAGCTTTTCCATTCCTACTTGGAGATTTATACTCTGTACCACAACCATGTAAGTGTGTAAATATCCATTTATTTTCCTCTAAAATGATAAATTGAAACCAATGCAAATTTATGTTCCCGTTCGAATACACATTTAGCCGTAAAATAACATAAACTAAGGATTACTTTTTTTAACTAGTTGTGATCTATTAAAGAAGTGTACATTACAGTACTAGACAGCTGTGTATTGCTGTTTTTCAGTTATTATTTAATTAAGGTCAGTCAGTGATGCATACATGTTCACGTAAATACCCTAAGTTAACTATCACTTAAAACAATAATCATTTCAAACAATATCTTAGCTTCAGGATGGATTTTCTGGAGTTCAAGTGAGAAGCCGTGACCAGTGGAGTTCAATCCGTGTCGGGTGGAGACACTTATTCACTTCAGGCAATAGATGATGGGTTGAGCAAGATCATGGATCAACTGAAGTTAGACATTAACACTGTTGGATGTATGCTTAGTGGTCTAAAGGTTAATCGTTCGCGCGTGAAGCCGAAAGTCTTAGGTCCAAGTCTTGCATATACGATCGTGGATGCGTACTGCTGAGGAGTTCCATATTAGGACGAAATGCTCATGTACACTATTTTATTATTCTTTTCCATTTGGCTTTTCACTAAACTATCATATTCCTCTTTCCTTCGTGTGTGCGCTAATTTTTATGTGGTTTAAGGATTACATGCTTGTTTAATAAAATTTGTTTAAATCGTTAAATATTAAAAATATTTCCATAATTTTATTGAACTTCAACTTCAACACTAAAGAATCATTTATTTAATTAACAAGAATTAAATTTAAATCATTTTGATGGGCTGAATGCTTTCACTATTTGTCTAAATACTTTGTTTATTCACTATACTTATATTAAGTAGTATGTATTTTGAAAATCATTGTGTTAAAAGGTATAAATTATTTTCAGTATACTATTTATTTATGTAATGCCATTCGTTAACAATTCATCCCTTTAATAAATTGATCATTTAGAAGTTATGTAATTTGTTGATTAGGTAATAGACGGTAAATACGGTTTATTAGTTTGTATGTATTCATGTATGTTTTATGTAGTTGCTGCGAACAATCGATTTTGTTTATGTACATTCTAATATCCATTTTATATAATACAATAATAATAATAATTTTGATTTAATGGTAAACAGAAATTTTGTTAGATATTTAAAAATTTAAAGATGTAAGCATATTATGAAGTTAACTAGGTACTGACTATCTAGCTGTTGTATTCTGCTTCTGAATTGCTAGAACAATGAGCAAAATAATCTTTCTCATAACTGAACTTAAGCTTTTTAGTTTAAGAGATGAATATCTATTAGTAAAATGTTATAGAGATTGATGAGTTTTAATTCAAATCATGAATCGATCAGTGTTAGACCATCATTGTAAGCCTGGAAGCAGTAGACGGCTGTTTAATCTTATTATAAAACTCCTCAGCAATGCGCATCCATGATCCCACATGCAGGATCCGAATATCTATTAATATTCAAAACACTATTTGATGTAATGTGAGGTATCTATGACTCTAGATATGTGAGTGTAGAAGAAATGCGATTTTCCGATTGCATCCACAGAATTATGAAAACATGCCTAGATTTTTTAGTATACACATGGAATTATACATAATATTATGATCATTTAGAAAAAAGATCTATTGAAACCCATTGAAACCTCATAGCCCTAATAAATATTTTTTCATAACATCTCGTAACCGTCCTACTGCGTTTCTTTAATTTATAGCTTTTGTGGAGCATTCACTCTTTCAAGGCTTCCAAAAAGACTATTAGGAAATCTGAGTTTGAAATTCTGTTTCGCTTCTGGTCACCTAACAGCTACTGTGTGTAAACTGAGATATTGTAGGCTCGTCTATTGGTGATGAACACCGGTGTCGTAAGAAATTCGGTCATAAGTGATTACAAATAAATTATGTCACTGAATTGACTCATTATATTTTGAATAAAACCAGTGTATCATTAAATCAGTTTAAGAAGATATACAGCCAGTGAAAGGTTTCTGAAAGAGAATATGTAGGCTTGTTACTAATTATAGAAGACATTATATGATGGTCGACATGACAAGCTGTGAGTCATGTATGATGAAATTTGAACATTTCACTTCTACCTGAAGTTCGTGCTGATGATGTTATTCAGAAGAACAACGAAACCTTCATAACCAAACCATCCAGCTCAGAGAACGAAACTCCACCCAAGAGATTTTAATTTACATCATACCTACGACTTTTATCAACATTTAGTAAGTAACCGACTTAAAAGTCTCTTATGGCAACCAGTAGTAGTTTAACATTTTTAAGGTCATACTAAGACATTTCCATTTCTTCTTAATTATACCTTACACAATTACTTGTAATATTATTAACTAGATGAAGTCATCACCTAATTATTTCTTTGAGTAGAAGATAGTTTTCAAATCATGTTATACCATAAACATTAGTGAATTCCTACATATAATTAAATTGTGTTGTGTATTATTACTACTTTTAATAATACTGATCTTTTTATATAATAACAAGTTCATTATCCATATATATTTTGAGTTATTTATATCAACATATTTCACACTAATCTTATGACGCTTTCATGCTGTAATAATACAAAATATGACATGAAAATAAACATATGAACTAATTAGAAAAATATATATACTTCCTTATTTATTCACTTGATATTTTCATATGAAGTTTGATTTAATGGTGAGAGAAGATGGATGGTTTGGTCGTGGAGCTTTCATCGTTCTTCTGAACGACATTCCGAAAACACCAGAGAATTTTTAGAAGCCTGGCACTCAGGTCAATCAGCAATTAACAAGCATATTGAAATCAACCCAATTTATCAACCAATCAGAAAAATCATGCACAAATATAGGAACAAAAATCAAACCAATGGGAGACACAACCAAAACAAAGAAGTAAACAATGATAAATTTAAGGTCAATAAGAACCAATCAACATCGAGGTGTACAGAACAATCTCTGAGACGAACATGGAGGAATTCGAACACTTCACTTCTATCTGAAGTTTGTGCTGATGATGTCGTTCAGAAGAACGATAAAAGCTCCACGACCAAGCCATCCAGCTCAGAGAACAAAACTTCATCAAAATCATCCACCTGAGCTACAAATCTTCCCCATCACCCTTAACCAAAGGTTATAAAACTGTAAGAAAAGTTTACAACTTCATATCAGTTAGTTAATAAGTGATCATAATTTTGAAAAGAATTGAGTCGAACTGTTCAAAAATCAAATAATAGATCCGTTTTTTGTCGGCTCCTTTCAACTACTATTTGTTAGGAGAGTATTTCGTTTAAATTATTGGTCACACTGATATTTTTGAATGAAATATTATACTCAGTAATACTTGTTAGTCTACCAGTGCTTAAAGTTTTATAATAAGTAATAATGAAAAAAGATCATTGATGCTGAAAACAATATTTGCTTATTGAGTTTGTAATTTTTATTCATTCAATCATTTTTATATTATGATATTTCAGCCCTGTTTCTCATCATAACTCAAATACCGTCTGTTTACATTTGGGAAGGATGGTGGCCTATATCTACTTTAACAAGATCTCGATTTATGTCACAAAAGTTATCGAGATCTTTTTCAACTTATAGCAAGTCTCCTTCTATTCCGGGAGATCAAACAGATGATTATAGATGGAGTACATCATTAGATGAATGTTTTGAATTTAGTCCACAAAATTCAGCCGATGGATCTTTTGATTTTGAAGAAAATGAACAACCAGCTTTGACAGGAACAGGTCGTGCTCGATTTTGTGCCGTACGCAAAGCTGCAATGCATACCGCTAAAGCTCTAGCAGATAAATGTAAGTTGGCTATTACAATTCATTTCTGTCCAACCAAACAAAAATGTTTTAAATTACTTACGCTAACGATAAAGACGATGTTGTATTGTATGTTATATTTCTGTAAACTGATTATTTAATGCATAATTATTACCAGAAAACTAGAAATATCTAAACCTTAATTTGAGGTTCCTGAGATCTATTACAAATAAAGTCCGAATGAACTCATCGATGACAGCATTGACAGTATAATAACAGTTTGGTGTACAATCTGAAGAGTTATGAAATCAGTTATCATAGTATCCATGAGTAAAATATAATATCAATTCGAAATCAGTATATGGGGAATGATAATCCATGAGTTAAAAAAACCCCATTTTTTTCTTGTAAATAATCAGAAATTAAGTTATAAGAAGTGAATTATTCGCTAACAAATGCATCCTCCAATCACTCTGAATCATGTTTGGATAACTAACTAGTTAAAGTCACCAGCATATTCACACATAATGTCTAGGTTAACGACTAGTTTATGAATTCATACATGGTTAGTTATTTCCATTTCATTATTAATCAATAATCAGATAAACACAAATGATAATTCAAAACGTGAAAGTATAAAAATTTATTGACTAGATAAATCATTGATATCAGAAGGGGTTTTGTGGAGATTTTTAGAAATTTCACAGGTTAAAATCATGAGTCAATTGAAGCCAGACCACCATGGAAAACCTGAAAGCACTGGACGGCCGTTTCGTCCTAGTATGGGACTCCTCAGCAACGCGCACCCACGATCCCGCACTCCACGGGATTCGAGCCCACGACCTACTGGTTTCGCGCGCGAGCACTTAACCACTAGACCACTGAGCCGGCATCCCACGGTGTTAATGTCTAACTTCAACTAATCCACGAAATTGAGCGACACATCCACCATTGTCATCAGTGAGTTACTATCTCGCTTGGCGCGAGACTGACAGGTCCTGAGTCCCATAATAGGAAGAAAAGACCGTCCAGTGCTTCCAGGTTTTCCATGGTGGTCTAGCTTCAATTGACTCATGATCTCAACTATATCATTTATAAATGAAAATGTAAATTCTAATATAAGCCTTAATTCCCAATGTTTTGTTATGGCTAAAAATTAAGGTTAACTATAAAGACTACTTTTACATATGATTCTATTTAAATCAGTATATGTTAATTATTATGGAATGCAGTTGGAGTACTTCAGTACAGCTTTATTTGTTAAACATTTATTTATATTCTTTTTTATATTCTCGTAATCTAATAGATGGTATTGTTATACATATCATGCTATTGCATAAAGAGAAAATATGCTGGTTAAAGCTTATTTTAAGCAATATACATAATAAGCATTTACTTATGTTATCTCATTAGCTTCATCTAGGGTACAAACAATATGAAATAATTTGTTAATTCATAGGGTGAATTCATTTTGTTTTTTAGTAAATATCAAATGTCATAACATTATAGTATACGGAACATTAACTATTACTATGTTAGAAATACTTAAAGTTTTCTATTTGCATACATCACATGGTCTGATCTGTTGATTAAGACCATCTAACGACTTTAGTTAAAGCTATCCTTATGGATGACTTTTTGTTATGTAGAAGATAATTAGTGGGTTTAATTCCTTTTTATGTTGGTTGCTTGAAACGTGTCATTGATTTTCAGGATTGTAATTGATCAGTCTCTTATTGATATGTATACAACCTCTGCGGATTACCTTGATATTGTCTGAAGTTACAATCATTATAAGCAGATATGGGTGGTAGCTAGGAGTAGAATCGAGGATGAAGGTTTCATCCTATTTAGGACTCGTCAATTGGATGTACCTAAGTCTCAGTTTTGATTTTCACTCCAGGACTCAAGCCCAATGCTGTTGTGGAAAGTCAAACAGCCAATACAGGGGTGAATTAAACTTCACCCCGTCGCACAAGCTAGTAGTTATCTGAACTCAAAAGCTAAGTGGATAACGCGATGGTATTTGCAGCGAACAGTACTGGGTTTGAGTCTCAAAGTAAACATCAAAATTCTGAAATGCAGGTGCATCCAGCTGAAGAGTCCCAAAAAGGATGAAACGCTCGTCCTCGATTCTACTTCTACCCACTTTCATTTCTCTTCACTTGGTATTGTTTTGCTTGTATCTTCCCATTGAGGTTTAAGACTGAAATTGATCAGTCTGTTATTGGCATATGTGCATACTGTGCGTATGCCTCAATATTGCCTTAATTCACAAGCTTTTTTTAGGCAGTGATGGATAGTGGCTAGCAGTGGAATCCAGGACGCGCGTTTCGTCCTGTTTGGGACTCGTCAGCTGGATGTACCTGCACCTCAACATTGATGTTCACTCTGGGACTCGAACGCAGTACCATTCGCTACAAACGCCATTGCGTTATCCACTTAGCTACTGAGTCTTGATAGCCACTTGCTTGTGCAATGGGGTGAAGTTGAAATTCACTTGATATTGTTTACTTGGATCTTCCCATGGATGTTTAGGACTGCAACTGGATTGTTATTAAAGATAATTAAAAAGTTTCATTATGCCGGTGCGTTCACTAAATAAAACTATGCGGTCTTCACAGTTGATAAGTCAACCTACTAGTAAGAGATTAATCGCCGAAAAACGAGATGAATAAAATGTTATTTGTAGGAAATCAGCTTTAACAGAAATGAACATATAGGAGTTGTCTACTATCCTTCTTTGAGTATTACGAGATCGATGTACCTGCGGGTACACCCAGCTGACGAGTCCCAAATAGGACGAAACGCGCATCCTGGACTCCACTGCTAGCCACTATCCATCACCATCATTTCTGTTTATAATTAATATGTTTAGAAAGATATTCACTGAATTTAAGCATCTACTTTTAAAACTTCTATTCTATTTACGAACACGTTTCCATTGACTAATAATGTTTTCCCTTCTTAAATTTGTATTCTTCACAAATTTCAGTAGGTACAAAAGCTTATTTAATCTACGCTGGCTTAGAACCACCGGAATTTTTAGTTTTATTCCCTCCTTATGTTAGATCGACAGATGCAATAGCTTATCATCAATTCGAAGTAAGTAATATGAACAAAAAATGGCATTATTTTGTACTTCATTTATGTTTACATATTTATTTGAATTACATAAAATTTCTCATCTTTGTATCCTTTTATAATAAGTGATTGCTTAATCTTATCTTACGGTTATCTTACCTGACGAATTTGACCCTATCTGTAAATGATGGATTGAAAGTTTTTGTTCTATAACAAAATGAAGGGTAGTTCCAGACACTTTAAACATCATTGTTCATCAGTAATCTAGTCTATTTTAATAAATTGACTCATGTGTGCAAAAATGTACTACTTTAATATTAAGTTTCGGATCTTTATATATACCACTTACAAATGAATAAATAAAAAAACAGGTTTTCTAATATGAAAATGTTATATGTTGCTAATATGAATCAAACTGTGTTTCTTTATTCTGAATGTGATTTGAAATTTCAACATTTTATTATTGAACAAGTTAACAGTGACTACTCATATACCATTCGATTGTGTTAGAAATATACTATCTAGTAAGATAGTTCTTCTATAAGTTATAATACGATATCAATCCCTAGAACTATATACTCAAGGATATTTTGATTACTCTTTCCAAACTATCAGTCGACTGAATGTAGAACATCGTTTCTAAATGGGGTACTGTGATTTCACGTTTAGTTTCTTACATTCATAATGAAACTATTGTTATCAATATCGATTGATAATCAGGTAAACTAGTTTAGATGGAATACCATTCTCTTCTGGACGTTAACTACTAATCATTGTACTTTAAGAGAAATTCAATCGAAGCATTTATAACACCTAGGGATATTTAACCTAAATTTATAATTTAATCAAATGTTATTTTTATTATTTTAATTATTATGCATATATCAGCTGTTTGGTTGCACACACTAAAGAAACTGAAAACCACTTAAATTGATTATCAAGTCAGTCATTTATTCAAATGACCTCAAACTTTTATTTAATCGGATGTATACCCTCTTTATCTTCCCTTAAATTGTGAGATTAAAATCACTTCGTATCTTTCTTTCTACGAACTAATTCTTTCTTTCTGTAATATATCTTTACATAAAATCTTTCCTTTATATATTACACCACTGAGTTAACTGCTTTTATGAATCCAGTGTTTTCATCTTGCTGTGCTAATAAGGTGTGGCAACTTGGACCGATGCATGTATTTGCCTGGTCCTAGGTTGTAACTGATTGACTGTTTGAATTTGTAGTCGAATGGTGTTATCGAGATTCTGGTGTGAATTTAGAATTTTATTTTATTTTGAAAGTTCAAGGTACATTATTGTTTGTACTGAGCATATTATTGTTATCATTATGTTAAACAACATTTTTGGAGCTTTACCTAACTATATTTCTGAAAGTTTCCCAGTGAAATCATTTAAACAGAAGAAAGAACGATTAAACGTCAACGGTAAAGTGTAACCTTTTTTTAAAAGAAAGTCTAGTTAGAAAAAATGATCAGATAAGAATGACCAGCTGATGCCACATTGTCAGAATACATAGATGAAAATAGGGAAGCTTAATTTTGGGCTTTCAACTTTCATACAACTTTATTATAGTTTATGGTTAAAGTTATTAAATTTAGATCTATTGAATGAAGGTTGATATTTAGCTAGTACTATGGAACCTAGTGGTCGAGATTTCTATTTGATATGTAACGCAATGTAAAGATTTATAATTTATGTCAGCCCAGTGTATTTAATATTTTTACATTTTTAACTCACAAAATGTGAATATTTTAATAAATGGGTTTGTCAGAAATACATTCTTTGAGCTAAAAACTTTGGCATTTGTTTAGAAAAGGTGTCTTCAGTTCAATGACATCTCACTTGTTATCATCCTTTGGGTTTGCTTTGTAAAGTATTCCTAGAGAAATTAAGCCATATTAACATATCTAGACTTGTTCGACTGAAAAACTACAGACACTGTAGTTAAAAACGAAGATAATTTTCTGAAACTGCTTTTTTTGTTAAGCAAAAGTTTCATTTCAAACGAAACAGTTGTCTAATGCCGCCCTTTCATTTTCACTGATCATCCAGTCACTTCGTGATGCGAATTACTCTTAGATTGATTGATTTCCACAAACATTATTAAATTTAAGTTTATTATTAGGCTGAGAGATATTGTCCAGGAATACTGATAATGCATAGTAAGGAATCGAGTTAATAAAACATCTATCCAAAGCATCAGTTAATTTCTTGATTAAAAAACGCGTTTATTCACAATATCACTAAAATAATATCCCACGGAACATGTGCAGACACCTTTATAGACATCTTCATTTTCTACGCTGTCAAATCGCTTGCTACTATAACATGATTATTATTTAATTCGCTAGCTGAACCGTTGTATTTGAATCTCAACTAAAACATCAGCTCCCTAATGACTACAAATTTCAATTAGTTCTAAGTCTAAGACTCCTGTCAGTCCTCCTCCAACCACCTAACGTTTGACATAGTACACCTCTAGACGTAGAGTCATGGTATAAGTGGTCACACTGCTACTGGATTAATGGAAGACAGTCAGCACTAAAAGTTAGACAATATGACATTAATCCACACTCTGTAACGATTAATGTCGAAAATTCATCCGTATTCTTGGATACCTGTTTATCCCTTAATCTGTCTGTTAAATTAGAAAGAGCTAATGGATTTTAAAACATCTAACCAAAGTATATTAATCACCTTTTTTCATTGATTTAAGTGAAGGAAAAGACTTTTGGGGTTTAACGTTAAACTTTTTCTCATTCATTTAAATACCATTTCAATGAAGTTAAAACTTCAAGCATCAAATTTCACCAGTATGAAAAGCAAAATCTACTTATTAAACAAATGATCTTATAAATTTCATATCATATTTCTTGAATATTAAATCCCAATATCTGAGTTTTGCATTAATAGAAATTGTCTTCATAAAAACAAGATAAATGTTGAAACTTTGATATACAAATGTTCATTTGTATGCAAAACTCAATACAAAAAATTACATAAGCTTAAATCACTTTGAGCATGGTTTGTAATTTATGCAACTAACATTAACAACAAAGTCATTACTTACTTTTTGCTTAGTTTCATCAAAGTAGTAATGTTTTATTACGCCCATTTTGTGATTGTCTTTATTTTCATTGTGTTTCATTTTATTGGTCCGAGTCTCTTTCATTCACCTAGTTAACGGATATCAGAGTATTTTAGTAAAAAAATATTCAATACATGTGTGGAATTGCGTTAATCCTTCCTACTTTTGCTTGTTACTCCTTGTTGATGAGCATAGGCCACCCACGGTACATTGTTTTCATATAAACAATGGTTATCCGATGAGAATATTAAACATTATCTTACAAAAAAACAAAAAAGAGGAAAGTGCTTTGTATGTTGCAGCTTATGTATATTTGGTTAAGCTAATTATTGCTAATAACAAAAAGTAGCATCTCATTTTGAAACTGATAGTCTAAATGTTTTAACTGTGATATTATAGAGTATAGTTTAACCGATCTTTAGAGACGCTTGTACTTATATATCTGTAAAATCTAGTTACATGGAATTCAATAACTAACTGCTATTGTAGTGTGCTAGTGATGTCGAGGGATATAAGTAGTATGTATCATCAGTAGTATGTGAAATGTCCGGCGACAGAAGGTTAGAAATATCAGAAAAAAGAGAACGAGAACAAAGAATGATTCGTGTGGAAACGAAAGAACAATGAAGTCTTAGATGACTGACTGATATTTGCAAAGGACCAGTCAAGTTTGAGACAATTGATTGACATTGCAAATGAAGTATTTTCTGTATGGTTCTCAGATTTTACAAAGATGTTCTGTAATTTTGTATTCAAATATATTCGATAATTACATGATCCTAAAAACCTCGAAGAACAGGGTTAAACTGAAGTCTATTAATTGTTCTTCGTTTTTTCATATTTTTCAATGAAACCTCAGTGGATGGTAGTTACTAATAAAAATTTCTTGAAAAACAAAATAGTTTTTTTATAACGCACAGCCCTTACCCATAGAGACTAAGCGGACTTTTAAAAAAGGCATCTTATATTTACCGAAATTATTATCACATTAATTTCCCGTTCACTAAGTGAGAGGACTAAGTATGTTTAATTTCAAATAGAATGTTCTTTCAATCTAATTAATAGATTAGAAGTAGTAGAAAACTTGCAGTTTATACAGCTGAAGCATTCTGTAATACATACTATTACTCCACCACACCAATTATTTAAAATATAACAACGTTATAAATATATTATATTTTACAACACCCTATATAATCCCCAAATAACAAAATAAAAAAACATTCAAAATAACCCATATCCTCACACCTATCACAACCACTAAAAAACCCTACCCCTATAAACCTCAAACCCTTCACCCACTATACAATATACAACCAACTCCTCAAAACAAACAACTTCACAAAACAACAAACTCACCCTAAAAAAACACACATCTACACCCAATCCAACACAACACAAACATTACCAAACAACCAACCCCAAACAACCCCACCAAACCAACAATACCCCCCCCAACCCCCACCAAACACCCCCACACCCCACACCAACAAAACCAACACAACATACCCAAACCAAAAACAACACTACCCAACAACTCACATACCCCAAACCACAAACATAATAAATACCTTAAACCAAAAATTACCTAACCCACTCACATCAAACCAATCCCAACCCACCAATCCAAACAAATCAACAAAAAAAACCCCCCACCACCAATTCCAACCAAACATTCATCCCCCCCCACTTAACCTACACCACTTACAATACAAAAATCCCCTCCCAACCACAAATTCACCCAACTAAAAATTCAAACCAATATACCTAATATCATCCCCCCACCACCAACCAAACCACCACACACATACCCCCCCACAACCCCAACACCCCCTAAACACCCCAAAAATTCCAATAAACAATATCCCAACACCATTACCCAAATACCTTCCCCACCCCCTCAATACCTCACCGCCAATAACCCCACATCAACCCCAACCTAAAACCCCCTCCATATTCCTACCCACCTCAAACCATACCCCAAAATCACATTACACCCCCCCATCCTACTCCACCCCAAACAATAAATACAACACACTGCACAAACAACAAACATACATAACACAAAACCCATAAAAAAATACGAAACATATAATATACCCAACCAAAATGCCCTCTTAACATAACCTAAAACACCACCCTCCCCAAATCACACCCGCTTTCTATCACCTACAGTTACTGATCCCCCCCCCCCCCCCCCACCCCCGTTAATGAGACTGCCCCCCACCCCCCCCCCCCCTCACCCAACCCCCCCCCCCCCCCCCCCCCCCCACCCCCCCCCCCCCCCCCCCCCCACCCCCAATACTGAATGCTTTATACTGGTTTCGAGTTTATTCTTTCATGAACATATATCTTAGCGTGAATATAAAGATTCATACTATTGATGAAATAATATTAATAATTTCACAGCTATAAGATATTTGTCGTGCATGGTGGACAGCTGACAGATGCATTCCAAATATGGACCACAGTCAGACAAGACTGTCTACTCTCTCACTTCCCTTTTCTTCTAGCAGTCGACTGGATTATGAAGATCTCGATATCTGAGGGAAAACACGGCATACAATGGACAGATCAGGACCAGTCAGACGATTTGGACTTCGCAGATGAACTAGCCCTCCTATTCAGTACACACAAACAAATGCAGATGAAGAAAACTCGCGTGGCAGCAGTCTCTGCATCAGTAGGCCTCAACATACACAGGGGGAAAACCAAGGTCTTCAAATACAACATGGAGAACAGCAATCCAACCACACTTGATTGAGAAACTCTTGGAGGTGTAGAATCCTTCACGTGTTTGGGAAGCGTCATCGATGAACAAGGAGGATCAGGTGCAGACGCGAAGGCAAGGATTGGCAGAGCAAGAGTCGTACTCCCACAATTGAAGAACATGTGGAAGTCAAAACAACTTTCAACCAATATCAAAGTGAGAATCTTCAATACGAAAGTCAACATAGTTCTACTGTATGGAGCTGAAACGTGAACAACTGTCATAATCATCATCAATAAAGTGCAACTATTTATAAACAGTTGTTTACATAAGATACTCAACATCCATTGGCCGGATACTATCGGCAAGAGCCTTCTGTGGGAGAGAACAAACCAGCTTCCAGCTGAAAAGGAAATTATGAACAGACGATGGAGATGGATAGGACATACGTTACACAAATCATCGAACTGTATCACGAGACAAGCGCTAACATGGAATCCAGAAGGGAAGCAGAAATGAGGGAGGCCAAAGAACACATTACGTCAGGAAATAAAATCAGATATGAAAGGGGTGAATAACAACTGAAAAGAGCTGGAAAGAATTGCCTAGGACAGGGTTGGATTGAGAGTGCTGGTGGGCGGCCTATGCTCCTCCGTGAGGAGTAACAAGCGTAAGTAAATATAAGATATTTTATATTATCCATAAGTAACCAAAAGGCAATTTATAAAAATACAAACAGTTCCACGGTCACAAATGGGTTGAATTGATGAGTTTATTTAAATCGTTACCTTAGTATTATAACGGATAGGTTAAGTTGTTTGAATGTGAAACGGGTTTCTTTTTAAAAGTAATTCATGGCTTATTATCATTTCTGTTATCACCAAGATTCTGTCAACAGATATATATACTAACTATTTAGTTAGCTTATTTTTTATTTTCTTCATATATTTCAATCTATTTTTCACATATTATTCAGGATGGTAAAACTGATGGTCAAAAAGATTTAATTGACAGTTTACTATCATCATATACCTTGGCTTCATATACATTGAGTGATCTTCAACAACGTCCTCTCCCCCCTGAATTGGATGCAACCTGTTTAGAAACGTATTTAGATGATAAGACCTTCGAAGTAAGCTATACAAATACTCACTTATAGTTTTTTTTCCTTCTTGATTGATTCAACAATTTATTTTGTTAAGTGTTGTAAAAGAGTTTAACGAACGCAGAATTTTTACTAATCGTTCTGATCCATTCTATGAGTTATCCCTCTGTATAAAACTCAAGTATATTAATAAATGAAAGTAATACATTTGTAATCAAAAACTTCGGACAAAGACTACTCGGTGAGTTGATAATTACAAGAAAAACTGAATGAAAGATCTTTTCAAAACACTTCTTACTGTTTATATGTGTAGAATTGTATGTAATAGACACTGAAATGTCTCTTCGAGAATTTAAATAATAAGGTATAGTAATGGCTTGAATGTGAAGAACAATATTTATCTAGTGTATTCTTGTAGGTGTGTTTTGTACCTTTATTCAATGCAGTCCATCATGGTGAAGTACTGTGTAAGTATAATACTTCATAATCATATATATAAGTATATACTGTTTCAATTAAGTAGACAATTGTGTGAACGTTTTTCCCTTTGCCTACTTCTGTTCATCCCTTCGGTGGAAAAAAGAAATGACAAGAAAACTGAGCTTTTACCAGAATAATTCCTCATATGACAATGACTTACTGAATATTTCACTTAGATGGTTAGATGTAATCTATTAAATTCAAATTCTATTTCATTATACATAAATATCAAATGAATAAACTGAGCGGCATAAAACCGCCTTCATCGAAAAACAAACATTTATCATTATGAAATACAATTGAATACTGACAATGATTGGGCTATATTTTAACCCTTGAATTTCAATTCAGTATTCTATTTATTTATACTTGTAATAATCTCAGTAATCGAAATTGAAAATAACTCCAACATAACTTTTAACAGTCTGATTTGTGCTTCTCGAAGCTAATGGTTTTGAATTTCAGTTACGTAGATGTTTACAAATATCATTTCCTATAAAATGAATTCGAATTTATTGCAGCTCTATATATAATCATAGTCGATGATTAGGTTCTCATCAATGAAGAATAATATCATAATAAATTGTTAGTTTGATTTTATTTAGTTTAATACCAGGCTAAAACTTTATACCGAATTGTATTACTAGTTTATTTGTCAAAAACTGTGATAATCCAACAATTTGATAACAAAAATAGATTCCGATATAACAATGTACAAATTAATTTTACACTGAGATTATTAGCTGATCAATTTTAGACCATCAGTGATAACCTGGAAGAAGTTGGCGGCTGTTTCGTCCCAGGGTAGGACTCCTCAGCAGTGTACATACACAGTCCTGCACACGAATGCTTAAGCTCTAGACTACTGAGCCGATGTTCAACGATGTGAACGTCTAACTTTAACCAATCCACGACATTTAGCGATTATCTTTCACTGCCTTCGGTGGGTAACTGCCTCTCACTCGACATGGTTGATGTCCACTAGTTACGACGGGTTTGTGTACGAGACCGAAGGTCCCGGGATCGAGTCCTGCGTATGGGATCGTGTATATGCGCTGCTGTGGAGTACTAAACTAGGACGAATCGTCCGCCTGGTACTTCTGGTTTTTCACTGGTGGTCTAAGATTGATCAATTTATGACCTTAATTAAAACTCAATCGTCTGTACAACCGTGTACTGTTGATAAACATAGTTTTACAAAACAAAGTAAACAATATGAATAATTATCAATAAACTGACATTATTTAAATAATCGATATAATGTTACATAACGATCAAGGGATAACTATGAAATACTGGTTTAACTAACAAATCCAAGAGTTTTATGATTTAATTTTTTCTTTAAACTTTTAATTTTCAATTACAGGAAATATTTTCAATGTCTAGAGAAGATTTCAATAAATTACCAATATGGAAACAGGCAGAAATGAAAAAGTTTTCAGGTTTATTCTAACTGAATTCTCGACTTGTTTAAATTATTCAAATATATGTGTACGCATATAAATGTATAAGCCCATGCACAATCTCACATAAAGATATACACATATCATTACAACATTCACAGTATTATATTGAATTGCATCATAAACACATAAAGACGAAGAGATTCTTTGAGTTACATATTATTATTTCACATTTTTGTGAATACATATACCAGATAATACATATAATTGTATAAATACAATACCATCAAACAATCCCGGAAGTGATGACCTTGAATTTATCGAATATTATCATACCCTCTGGAATGTAAACCAACTTTAGTTTGAAAAAACAAGATTCATATACATATACATAGATACCTATATATAGACATTTTTATCTCATTGACTGACTTAATTTTGCTACTATTTGAAAGGTATAAACTTATTTTATGCAACTATTTTTTATACACTATGGCTACTTGTGAAATAAAAAGAGTTATAGGCTGATTCATGTTACTACTATCATTATTATTACCACTGTTATTACTAACTATGTAACTGCATAAAACATAATTTTCATCATTCAGTTTGTTTATTTTTCTCACACTTATCCATTGTCCATATTTATGAATGCCTTATTCTCAACTTCAATATACTATGCATGTATTAAACACTTTATATGATCTATCATCCATTCTGTGTTAGGGTTAAAAACAGAATACTCGAATAGGTAAATTCGTTATTGGCTTTCAACAGTGATATACCATCTTCTTTCTTTTTTTCTTTAATTCAAACAAACAAAAACCTATTACTCATACATAGAGATAGATCTAAAACATAATATAAATAAAATCAATGACACAATCATAAGAATTCATTTGCATAACTTTCATATTCATTGTCTTTCATAGTTTATGTACAACATAAATATATATAGATAGGTAAACACATTCAGTTTTAGTTTGTTTGTATTGTTTATATCATTCTATGCCTTTCTATCAATCAAGAGATATTGACATTTCAGCTACTTTTGTTCTGTATTCTTCTTCTTCTACTGCTACTACTCCTTCAATGAATATCAATTACAAGAGAAGTATATTGAAGTTTATAAAAAAAAGATAAAAAATATCATTATAACTAATCATAATTGTGCCTTTGTCACTATACTTACCATTATATCGATTACTATTATTATTATTAATGTTGTTTTCATTGTCAATGTTTATCTGCCACTAATTTGTTTCAGATCATTTAATAAACTGAATTATTTTCATCATAATTAATAAACATTTACTTCTGTTACAAAATAGATTTTCATAGTTATTTTCAGTTGTGTAAGATAATCGAATTTTACAAAAGCTTGATTCATACTTTAGTTGAATTCATGAGTCAACTAAAGCAAGACCACCAAGGAACACCTGGAAGCACTAGGCGGTCGTTTCATCCTAGTATGGGACTTCTCAGCAGTGTGCACCCACGATACCTCCCTGCGAGGTTCGAACGCTTAAACTCTAGACCACTGAGCCGGCATACAACGGTGATAATGTCTTCATTAAGTTAATGTCTAACAACAGACCCGGTTGAACCCCAGTGGTCACTGCTTCCCACTAGAACTCCAGGAAATACCTCTTGAAGCCAGTCACTAGTTATCGTACGATGATTATTATCAAAAGGAGTTTTGTGGAGATTTCAGCAATTTTATATTTGAATTCATGAGTCGATTTTTTGTCAGGTCAAGATAATCAGTTTACAGTCTGGAATGCAAGATTTTATAAGGCTTTCATTAATCTAACAGGAAAGTATAAATGGTTTTTGATCACCAGTATTTTAGTCAGATCGTATCAATTCAATGGTTAAAAAATTAAATGCTGGGTCCCTAGCAAGATAGAAACAATCCACCTTCTTACTACTAGTCTTGTACTATCGGCTAAGCGATTATACAACGATTCTCTTCAATCCTGAGTTTCTACTTGTAACTTCAAACTTTATGGTTGTGAAACGAGAAAATCTTTGAGTTTTTCATTGATAACATTACTTGATCCAATGAAATGATTGTATTTCATATACTTGAGCTAAACAGCTAATTAGCAATATTATTGTTCTATGTAATCACATTGTGAAATATATTGATAATATATCAGTATTCAAGTTGAAGTTGATGAGTATGAAAGAGAAAATAATCATCGGATGCTTTATTTGAATATACACCAATTAATTCAGGTATTTTGATTTCTTCTCTTATAAAAGTTACTGATTAGCTGAAACATAAGATCATTTGTTTCAATAACAACAAAAAAAGATGAAAGAATTAGAAATATTTCCATTCTAATAAAATAATGGCATACCAAGTAAAGGTGTTTTTAAGTTTAGTTTAGTTTTTGTTAGCTGAAATGTATAGAATCACATTGAATACAACTGTTTTCCGTATACTGAACGCTAGTTAAACATAAGATAGTCAAGTATCTCTGAAGATAATTAGTTTCACTAACTTGTGTACGTTTTACTTATTTTGAATAAATTAAAAACAGAAATATTCTTTATAATAAATAATGTATATGAATAGCTTCGTGCTTCTTGTTTTTGGTTTGGCACATAGTTTTGAGGGTATAATCCAAGAAAACACAACTGAGGTTAGTCTCATAGTTTTGTATACTAGTTATCACATGTACTTGTAAATTCTTAAACTCATTCAATGGCCAAAACTTATGCTGTGCTTTAATAGTCTACTTGACATCCGACTATGAAAAATTTCTGGCTAGTAACACTTCGTTTTGGAATCAACTAAGTCAATTTTGCTCTGTATCAGACGTTCAACATCTTGCTACACTTATTTTCTATAAAGGCTATCGTTATAATAAGTTTACCTCAGTTAATCTACTGAGGATAAGTTTATTACCCTACTAAGAAGCATCTTGACTAAATCATGTATTTGAAGCAACGTTCAATTGACGAATCTTTCGTATTTCGCTGACTACAATCATGATTTATTTATATAACGAAATCAGGAACGTATAATTGAATATTATGGATATGGAGCAATTTAAGTTTGATGATGGAATATTCATAGTCAAAATTAATAAATAGTTTTGCCATCAACGTATCTCAGTAAATACCATATTCCTATGGTTACTGAAAACTACTGTGCATGTTGACTATAGTCTGAAAATGTTAAGTAAAGCATACTCCAAGTGACAGACTTATGATGGCTTCATATCTTCTGTCTGTTAAGATGTGTGCGGAGCTGATGATAAACATTTCTTGAAAGTAGTGGTACATATCATTTGTTAAATGACTGAAATAGTTTAAAGACCAACTCTTTAACAATGTTGTTCCATTCACTTGTATATATATAATAAGAGGAACAGTTCCTGAAATTTCAGCTTTATTGAAGGTCATTCATAAGGAGTTTCAGTGAAAATTGAAAGCAATATTTTTAGTGTAAATTCATGCAAACAGACGTTTTGGTAGGCAATAATCTACATTTTATATATAAAGCAAAATGGGTGGTAATAACTATTTTTTATTCACATCTGTAAACTATCTCTTCTCATTCAGAATTAAACCTCTTATGAACAATTTACTTCAAAATTTAAACTCTTGAAACAAACTTGCTGGGTGATATTTTCGTAACCTAGATGTGTTAGTAACTTGTACTATCACGTAATGCTACTTCAGAAAAAGATCAGTAAAGAAGTGCGATTTTCTATATGAATGTTATTAAAAGTAGCTGAATTGAATATTTAAGCTTAGCTCAGTTAAAGTTAAGTGTACGATTTGATTGTTGCTTGATTTCGAAAATATTCAAAAATATTTCGACTTAGAGCAATCAAAGCAATTTATTATTACTGTGTAATAATGCAAATACTGTAGAAACATTATCATCTTGGTTGTTGATCAGGGTGCTACTTATCATCAAAGTGTACAGTGCTTTTAAAAAGTTATGAGAAATTTATGTCAATTCCGATCGTCAGAACCACATAGATATAAGAGGATACATATTGCTAGTAAATATATTTTTAACATTGTCAGCATATGAATGAACCAGAACTAAGAAATAAAAGACAACAACAGTATAATGTGTCTAGCTCTCAATCTACGAGTATGCAACTCTTCTGCAATCTGGAGTAAGTAATCTCCAAGATGCTGATTTTAAAGATTCCTAATGTTCTGGTGTAGATACGTTCGTAGAGTTTGACAGATCAATTTGCTGTTTAGTGCTCCGAGAGATAAAGAATAGTAGTCCTGTATGATATCAGATATACTGTAAGATTTGAAAAGATGAAAAATGTTTTGTCGTTTGCCTAAATCTTGGTGTACATAAAATAAGTACTGGAGCTTTTAGACGGTAACTTATGTGACTTCATGCTTTCTCTTAACTGAAGACTGCAATTTTTTCTTCATCTCTCACATTTCCCTATTCTAATTATTAATAACTCCTAATACTTATGATCGGGTTTAAAAATGAGCTTTAAAATGAAAATATCACATATAATTGATCGTTGTCACTTTGTGGTGTACGAATCCATATGATTATATAAAATATTCGCGTATTCACCATGTACTTCTCAAATATGTTGCTTTTCAAACAATAATATCCTTACTTATGATGGCAACAGTATTTCTCACCTATAGATATTTTGTGCTTTTGTCTAAACTACTTATGAGTAGTTAAACTTTATTTTTTAAATAGTGTTGTGAAATAAGCCAAAAATAAATTCATACTAGGATAACACAGCTTAAGTTATTTAGAGAATTTTCAGCCTTTCGAGATTTTCAAGAAAGTTCTGATGGCTGTTTCTATTCATTGTACATCAAATAATGTAATTTGCGATCTCTATTCACTTGGGATAACTGAACTTACAGGTAACTTTCCTGATTGAACTTCATTTTCATTAAGACCAAAAGGAAATATTATTGGTTGATACAAGGGCCTCGTTCATATACGACCAGATATTCAACCAAAAAGGTTGAAGTGTTATAGAACACATCTGGATAGTGATGATTTAGTCTTAGTCTCCATAAATATAATCGGTTGTAAATAAAAGTCATCAAAATAACAATCAATTCAAACAATATCTAGACCTTTTTGGAAGATATTATTCTCTGTTTTCGCGAAATGTTAGACTGAAAAAAAGTTTCAAAATGAACGAAAATAACTTCGAGCCCCTAATACAGTAAGGAAGCTAAATAAACCTGATCATTTTCCCATGAAACTTGACAATGCACGAAATCTTTGGACTATTACGAATACCTGCGGATTACTGAGGAGCATTTATATTCAGTCAGAAGCAAAGATCCTAGAGCTTTCTGGAATAAATTAGAAAAGCGCAACTCATTCACACGTGAAAAATATTTGAAAACTGCATTACATTGGCAATTTGTAGAACATACACTTCTTTTGAAATTAAGTCGGTGAAGTGATCAAGGGATAGTCAATAAAAGCCCTACTGATAAGTTAAATCAGTGAGACTAATTTCTACAAGCTCTGACCACTTTCGGTCAATAATTGTCTGAAAGTCACTATCCAGGTGTCACATCACCTAAATCATCAACCAGGGTGCAAAACTGTAAAGATAAAATGCCTAAATAAACCACATCAGTCAAGAAACCTACTTTCCGTCAAGCTGAATTCAATGATGATGTTAAAACAATAAAAAGATGTATAACCACACTGACCAGAAACTAACTGGTAATTAAGCTGATTATCCAGAACAAAATATTACGTTCTTTACTCAAATCATAAGTCGATATGTAACCCATTTCGTGTTACCGCCAACTGCGAATATATAAATTTACATGCACCTGTCAAAGCAATAACATTAGCGAAACATAAAGAGCGACCTATGTTCAACTCTAAGGACATATTCCAAATGTTTCAGGTCAATGGGATTACGGTCAAAGCATCTCCGTGACTTAGGACATCAGGTAGATAAAATGAAATCTTTCAGCATTATCAATGGATAATAAAGTTCCGTTCTTCTCAAATTCGCTGAAGCTATAGCCATCAAACGTCTCAAGCCGGAATTAAGTATCCAAAAGGAAATAGTTGTAAATCTTTCGATACCATGATGACTTCATCATCAGTTTATTACATTATTCTTGCAAATCTTTTCTCTTTCTTATTTTAATTAAATCAATTCTTTATTATTCATAACTTGATTTTTAACAGACCGATCTCAACTCATGTGATTCTTAATTGCTATTAATTCATGTTGAACTATTTCACTATATAATTAATGATCTGATCTCTATGATCTCTTGTTACTATGTTCAATGGTCCAGAATATTCTCTCACATATCATAGTGGTTTGACAACACTTTATATATCTTTACTGTCATTTCTACTGTTATA